GAATGTTCCCATTTGTTCTGCTTATGTGTGTCCATATAACTATGAATTGGAATGCACATTTTTTTTATAAGCATGGGTTCTTTGAGGGTAATTTTAATTAATTAATTAATTAATTTTATTGGGGGGGCGCGCGCTTGGGGCCACATCTTGCTATGCTCAGAGTTTACTTCTGGCCCTGTGCTTAGAGATAGCCTTGGGCAGTACTCAAGACCATATGCTGTCCTGGGAGTAGGAACACGGTCAAGTGCATACAAGTCAAGTACCTTAACTCCTGAACAATCCCTCCCTATTTATTTATCCATACATTCACTTATCATCCCTCTGCTTTCTTTCTCTTTCCTTCCTTATTGTTGTTGTTGCAATGATTGAGAGTTGCACACATTTCCTGACTGTGATGTTTGCACACTGGAAGCTGTGGTGCATGTGTGCTCACTGGGGGTTGTACTGTTTGCATATGTGTTCATTCATTTCTTCATTGATTGGTTTATTGATTGTAGAGCTGAGAGTCTGATCGGCTGATTGGTGGTAGAGCAGGGATCAAAGCCTGCTGCATGCAAAGCGTTTCCTTTACCCCCCCAAGCCCCAGTCACCCCTGACCCCAGGTGCAACTCTTTGGTTGAACTGGTCATGCTCTGGTTGTGGTGCTCACTGGGGGTGCTCCATGCTCTCACCAGTGATCATCAAGAGTCACACTGCCAGGCTGTGCTGCTTCCATGTGGTTTTAGTTTTGCTGCTCCCAGAGGGTGTGACAGTAAGAAATTGCTGGCTGCTTCCAGAATCACAGAGAACAAGGCTGTCGGCTCAAATCACAGAATAGCCAGGGATGTGCTTGGCAGTGGAGACACTGGGGACTAGAACCCATGACCATTCTAAACCATTGTGCTCTTTCTCTGGGCCTGATAAATTATTTCTTTCTTTTTTTTTATTAACAGGTCACCTTATTTATTTATTTATTTATCTATTTATCTTTTTGGGTCATACCCAGTGATGCTCAGGGGTTACTCCTAGCTCATGCACTCAGGAATTACTCCTGACAGTGCTCAGGGGACCAGATGGGATGCTGGGAATTGAACCTGGGTTGGCCACGTGCAAGGCAAACGCCCCACCCACTGTGTTATGGCTCTAGCCCCGATAATTTATTTCTTAATTGTTAAAGCAAACAGACAAAACTCTTCAATCACCCCTCCTTATTGCTTAATCACGGGCCCATTTTTGTTCACTCATTTCCCCGTGCCTGTCAGTGCCTTTGTAGCCCAGCCCTGCTGATTATTCAGTGTGACTTTGGCATCAATATGGAAACTCACCTAAACCGGCTCTTACCAGGTCATGAAGTGTAAAGCTCTCCCCACACCTGCCACCGCACCCCAGGCCCCAAGAGCTAACGAGGCAAGTAAACAGTGGATGCTGATGACCACTATGACAATGATAGTCGGAAATGATCACTCTGGGTGGGCTGAAAAGAGATAAAGGGATATACATGATAACCTGTATTGCAAATGACTATGCCCAAGAGGAGAGAGACAGAGACAGAGACAGAGAGACAGAGAGAGATAGAGATAGAAGAAAATTGTCTGCCATCGAGACAGGCTGGGGTGAAGGGTGTCGGTAGAAGGGAAACTGGGACACTGGTGGTGGGAAATGTACACAAGTGAAGAGTCAGGTGTTGGAACATTGCATGACTGAAACCCAACCATGAACAACTTTCTGTGTACCTCAGATGATTCAATCCAAAAGGAGAGGTGGGAGGAAGAAAGTGGCCCCTGACACTTCCACTCCCCCCTTTTCAGGTACCTGCCTTAGCTGCTCTCCCACGCTTTTCTGCAACGTCTTTCTACTCCTTATCAGAAATTTAAGAACAGAGAATTAGATACCAGTCCCTTATTACTAAGCCTTGTTATTTTTGCAAAGTACACATTGTACATTCAGCAGCACACTGCAATGCATTCCATGAATTATTTAAATGAAGCACTCCTTGTCACAACAAATGAGCAAGGCCCATTTTGTTTATGGTCTCCTCACATGCTGCTCCTTCCCTTCATGGATTCCTTTGCGACATTAACTAAAATGCAATGAGCCAAATGTCATTAAAAGGACTCATGGCACTGCCACAGCTCCAGGACTGCAATTTTTTTTTCACTCCACTGGAGCATTTTTCTGCCTTCTTCCTTGAAGTTTATTATACAAGGATGTGTCTTTATAGTGGCTCAGACAAGGAACAAATATAAAATGTTTATAATTGAGGTTGACGGTAATGATGGTAAAAGTAACTGTTTTCACTTACTTTTTTCTGTTTTCTACATTTAGTGTTTTCAGTTACTGCTTTTCAGGTGGTTTTGTGTGTGTGTGTGTGTGTGTGTGTGTGTGGAGGGGGAGAGAGTGTGGTGATTTCTCTGGAATAGAACAGTTGATGCTTAGAGCAGGAAAAGAGAGCAAGGATGAAAACTCCGAAGATTCTCAAACTAGACTTTGAAAGAAGGTTGCAGACAATTCCTGCTGACTGCTCACCTTATTGATCTGTTTGGTACCAAGTGAGAGCACATTGATTCTCCGGCAGTGCAATGATTGAGACAATGAGGAGTTGGTGATGCTTTGGGAGGAAGCTTCGGGATTGCTACTCGTGGGGGTTCGTCTCTTTTGCTATGGGGAAACCTCTAAGTGCCGCTTGTCTGGGCTTTACACGCATAACCCTGCTCTTTGCCCTCCTGGTTATACCACACACATGTGACTCTTCCTGTTTAAACCCACACGTATGTACTGGCCCTTTACCCTTAGTGGCACTCCAAAAAGTTAATTTTAAGTCATTTTATTTTGGCTTAGGTTGTGACAATATTGCATAAACATGGATCAAGAAAATGATGACTTCAATCAAAACCAGGAGGACAGGAGCATAATATAATAGGCAGTCATTGACCCTTGTCATTGACACGAGTAGCTAGTTCTTCAAAAAAATAAAAAAACACCCAAAACTTCTTACGGACCAGAGAGTTAATCCAGGAGTGCTTACCTTGCATGTAGCTGACCCCATTTCAATCCTGATCACCACCTGGTCTCCCTCTGGTGACCAAGAATCACCAGAGGGTCCCCCAGGTCTCCTGAGCACACCTTGGGAGGTCCTAGTCCCCTGCCCCCATAAACAAATGAATTTTTTAAAAGCAGAGCTCAAGAGGTAGTATAATGGATAAGGCTTTTGCCTTGCTTGTGACCAACTCCAGTTCAATCCCCAGCACCAAATATGACCCCCCTGAACCCCACCAGGAGTGATCGTGAGACCCAGGAGTAGCCCCTGAACAACAATGAATATAGTATGGTCCCCAAACTAAACAAATAAATATTTTAAAAAAAGAAACAAAATGTAAATAAATCAAAATCCCTTGGGCTTCCATATAGAGAACGGGGGTTAGGAGGAGGAGAGGGGATGGAGACAGGCACATAGGGAGATGGAGAAGCCGGAGACCACGTGGAGGGCGGTGATGGGGGATGGGAAGAAGTTGGATTTAGGGTTAAAGCTTGGAGCTGGCACTAACAGATTTGCTGATTTATAGAATTTGGAGAAAAGGGGAAAAAGGAAGGAACCTAGACTTTGTTTTGTTTGGGAGCCACACCCAGCAGTGCTCAGAGCTTACTTCTTTTTTTTTTCTTAAATTTTTATTAGTGAAACACCATGAGGTACAGTTGTAGACATACAAATTTTGTGCTTGGGTTTCAATTATACAATAATCAAATACCCATCCCTCCACCAGTGCCCATTCTCCACCACCACTGATCTCAGTATCCCTCCCACCCCCCATCCCCCATCTCACCCTACCTCTGTGGTAGGGCATTCCCTTTTGTTATCTCTCTCCTTTTGAGTGCTGTGGTTTGCAAAAGAGACATTGAGTGGCAATCATGTTTGGTCTATAGTCTACTCTCATCACGCATCTCCCATCCTGGGAGGAAACTCCCAATACCCTTTACAGAGCTTACTTCTTAGTATGCACTTAGGGATCCCTCCTGGCAGGGGTTGGGGGGGCATACGGGGTACTGGGGATTGAACCCGGGTCAGCCAAGTACAAGGCAAATACCCTGCCCACTGCACTATCACTTCAGGCCACCTTGGCTTTGAGTTTTAGTTTGGTTTTGGTCATATCTGGCATTGCTCAGGGCTCACTCCTGGCTCTGTGCTCAGAGTTCATTCCTGGCTCTGTGTTCAAGGCTCACTCCTGGTGGGTTCAAGTGACCATATGGAGTTCCGAGGACTGAACCTGGGTGGGCCACATGCAAGGCACACTCCCTCCCTGCTGTACTATCTCTCAGATCCCCAAGAGGAAACTAGATCTATTTATTTATTTATTTATTTATTTTGGCTTTTTGGGTTACTAAAAGCTCAGGAGTCACTTACGAATGACTCCTGGTGGTGCTCAGGGGACCATATGGGATGCTGGGGATCGAACCCAGGTTGGCTGTGTGCAATAACTCTGGCCCCCAGAAACCTAAATTTATAATAAACAGTTTGGTTTGTTGTCCTTTCCTGTCGATTTTTAGACATTTTGATATTCTTTTTCCATAAGGCATTCAGTATGCCAAACACAGTAACAAGAAGTCTCACAATGGAGACGTTACTGGGCCCGCTCGAGCAAATCGATGAACAACGGGAGGACAGTGTTGACAGTTTTCCATAAGGCCTTTTTTTTTTTTTTCTTTTTGGGTCACACCCAGCAATACTCAGGAGTATTCTAGTACTCAGTACTTACTCCTGGCTCATGCACTTAGGAATTACTCCTGATGGTGCTCAGAGGACCATATGGGATGCTGGGAATCGAACCCGGGTTGACCTCATGCAAGGCAAATGCCCTACCCACTGTGCTATCATTGCTCCAGCCCCTCCCAGCCTTATTTTGTTTAGGACTGAATTTGTCATAGATAGGACCTTAACAAAATAAGAGTGACCAATTTGACCCTGGAGTTCTCATCAATTGCAGACACTAGCATTCTGAACTAAGTTTCTATGTGTTTCTCTTCAGGTTTGTTCAAGACTGGTTTTCACAAAGGATGCAAGTGGCCAACGCGGACTTCTCGACAGTCTTACCGCGCTCCATCTCTCTATATATCTTTTCCTTCCTGAACCCCAAAGATTTGTGTGCAGCTGCACAAGTCAGCTGGCCTTGGAGGTTCCTCACGGAGCAGGTCATTTCCCTGTACTCAGAATGAATCTAAATATCATCTGTCAGGAGGATCTGGGGTAACCCCCTTTCCCGAAGATAGCAGCCTAGGGTACCGGAGCCATAAATGGATTCTGACGTGGAAAAAGGGAAGCAGATAAATCCAGAAATGCATTTCATTAATTAAGGACTTTTGGTTAAGGGTCTCACCTTGCATGGGATCAACCTGGCTCCATCTCCATCACCACCACACCCAGCCGTGTACAGGGACTGCACAAGGCTCTGTGCCTTGATCTCTCCTGGCATATGTAAAGCCATAGCTCCTTTACTGTCTCTCCAACAACTAGTGTGTCTAATTATTTCGAGAACACTTAAGGCTGGCTGAAGAAGCCTGCCTTTTTTTGGGAAAAAAATTTACAATTTATTTTTCATATTCTATTTTAGCCATGATAACTCACCTTTAACTGATTCCTCGGCTGACATTTGTCTAATATCAGTCCAGATCTTTAATGTCTTCTGTCACTGATTGGAAAAGTGCTTCTGAGGGCCAGAGTGATAGTACAGCAGGGAGGGTGTATGCCTTGTACATGGTGGAGCTGGGTTTGATTCCCGGCATCCCATATGGTCCTCCAACCAACACCAGGAGTAATTCCTTAGCATCGCTGGGTGTGAACTATCACTGTCACTGTCTTCCCGTTGTTCATCGATTTTCTTGAGCGGGCTCAGTAACATCTCCATTGTGAGACTCTGTTGTTACTGAGTTTGGCATCTTGAATACGTCACGGGTAGCTTGCCAGGCTTTGCCATGTGGGCGAGGTACTCTCGGTAGCTTGCCGGGCTCTCTGAGAGGGGCAGAGGAATCGAACTCGGGTTGGCCATGTTGGCTGCATGCAAGGCAACCACCCTACCCGCTGTACTATCGCTCCAGCCCAGGGTGTGACCTAAAAAGCCCAAAAAGAAAAAAAAATTTAAAAAAGACAAAAGAAAAAAGAGAAGTGCTTCTGACCTACTTATTATTTTCGTTTGTTTTGCACTTTTGAGACTGCTATATTCAGGGCTAACTCTTGGCTCTGTGCTCAGGGATCATTTCTGGTGGTTCTCAGGGGACCTTATGGGGTGCTGGGGATCAGATTTGGGTTGACCACATGCAAGGCAAATGCCTTGCCTTCTGTTCTCTCTGTGGTTCTTCGGCCCATATTTTCTTTTAAAGTATTTAATACAGGAACTGGCTAGATAGCTCAAAGAGGTGGAACAGACTTTGATGTAGAAGGCCCAGACACCACAGTTTCAGGAACAATCCATCCCCCATGCTCCCCGTTCACCTAGCCAGTAGCAACACCCAAGTATCACTGGGTTTGGCCAAAAAGCAAAACTATATATACACACATGCGCATACACACACACACACACACACACACACACACACACACAAACACACACAAGTACACAGGTAGCATACCTGCAATATAAATATAGACATATAGGCATACTTTTCATATGAGGTAGTAATCTAAGCTACATCTCATTTTTTTGGATGGCCTGGGGTTGAGTTTCTGGTCTCAGAGAATTACTAGCTCTCTATGGAAGGGCCGTGTGCCAAGGTCTCATGACCTTGTGAGCACTGGACTTGGACTAGAAGCCAGTCTTGATGCTTATTTTCTGTCTTTTAACTCTACCTTTCTAAGCCCTTCTATTCAAAGGATATGTTCTGTAGATAGGACAAGGTCTTATAATTGTTTTCACATTTGACAATCGTTCCTTTTAGCTGAGTTGGTAGTCAATTTACATAGATGCAAATCCTGATTGAGTTGCATCTTCATCTTCTAACCTTACTATTGATTTTTTTAGTGTGTCATCTTTCTTTCCTCTCCCTGTTTTCTCTGGAATACTTACATCTTTTTTTGTTATTAATTATTATTTAGCAGTTGTTTCATGACTACAATAGTAATTCCAGCTCAATTCCTGGTGCTGCGATTATTGTCAACTTCTGGATAATTCTGGATAACCATAGAACCTTAACTCTATGGTTCTCCAAACCCACTTTCTTTTTTCTGTTTTATTTTGGGGGGGGGTTGGTTGTTGTTTGGGTCAGAACCAGTAGTGCTCTGATTCTGTGCTAAGTAATAATTCCTGGAGGAGCTTGGGGGACCATGTGCAGTGCTAGGGACTGAGCCAGGGTTGGCTGTGTGGAGCCTGGTGCCTTGACCCCTGTGCTATCTCTCTGGCCCTATTCACTTTCTATATTTTTTCTGCCAGATGTTTTCGATTTATATGTGCTGATATGACATACAAGCATGCTGTTTTGTTGATTTCTTTCTATGTATTTATTAATTTTAGGGCCTGATAGATAGTACAGTAGGTAGGGCACTTCCCTTGCATGCTGTATGATCCCCGGTTTGATCACCAGAACCACACATATTCCCCAAAGCCCTTTCAGGAGGGATCACCGAGCACAGGGCCAGAAGAAAGCACTGAGCATGATTAGGTGTGATACCCACCCCCCAAACAAATAAAAAGTTATTGCAATAATTTTGTAATACATCTTTAGGTAAGATTCAGATATGCATTGTCACAATACAATTTTTGTAAACAGTATATAAATTTTACCATTAAGGCAGAGTTCCATCCTTACCATACTTGATCTTTTTACCCACTTAGACAATCCTCTTCTACAGTTCTTTATGGCAACTACTAGTTTGGCATTGTGGTCTAAAACTAGATTTTTGTTTTATTTAGTCCATTTAACTTTTTATATAATACTTATGACTTTATTCATCTAACTTATTTAACTTGTAATACCCTCGTAGTGCATGCATTTTTGTTGAAAAAGCAGAATTTCTTTTTATATAGTTGCATTATATTCTATTGCACAATCCAAGCATATATTTTATTTTTAATTGATTAATTTTTTTATTGAGTCACCGTGAGATACAATTACAAGCTTTTATGATTAGGTTTCAGTCATACAATGTTCTACTACCCATCTCTCCACCAGTGTACATCTCCCACCACCAATGTCCTCAGTATCCCTCCTGCCATCCCCTCTCCAGCCCCTGAAGCCTGCCTCTATGGCCGGTACTTTTCTTGTGCTCTCTCTCTCTCTCTGTGTGTCTCTCTCTCTCTTTCTCTCTCTCTCTCCTTTAGGGCATTATGGCTTGCAATACAGATACTGAGAAGCCATCAAGTTTGGTTCTTTACCCACTTTCAGCACGCATCTCCCATCCAGGGCAATCACTTCCAACCATCGTTGTCATAGTGGTCCCTTCTCTAGTCCAACTGCCCTCTTCCCCCAGCCTTTGAGGCAGGCTTCCAGCTGTGGACCAATCCTCCTGGCCCTTGTTCCTACTGTCCCTGGGTGTTAGTCTCATACTATGTTTTTATTTTTTATATCCCACAAATAAGTGCAATTATTCTATGCCTGTCCCTCTCCTGATTTAATTAGTTCAGCATGATGCTTGCCATGTCCATCCATTGGTAAGCAAATTTCATGAGTTCACTTTTTTCTAATAGCTGTATAGTATTCCATTGTGTAGATGTACCATAGCTTCTTTAACCATTTGTCTGTTCTTGGGCACTAAGGTTGTTTCTAGATTCTGGCTATTGTGAACAATGCTGCAAAAAACATACAAGTGCAGATGTCATTTCTGCTTTGTGTTTTTGCACCCCAGGTATATATAGAAGTAGTACTTCTATATGTATAGAAGTACTATGTATTTACTATATACTATATATTCTATATATAGATATATATAGATATATAATATATACTATATATTCTATATATATATATATATATAGAAGTAGTACTGCTGGGTCATATGGAAGCTCAATTTCTAGTTTTTTGAGAAGTACCTATATTGTTTTCCCAAAAATGGCTGGACGAGTCAGCATTCCCATCAACAATGAATGAGAGTTCCTTTCTCACAGCACTGGTTGCTCTTGTTCTTTTTGATGTGTGCCAGTCTCTGTAGTGTGAGATGATATCTTATTGCTTTGATTTGCATCTTTCTGATGATTAGTGATGTAGAGCATTTTTTCATGTGACTTGGACATTTATATTTCTTTTTTGAGGACCAAGAATATATTTTAAAGTACTAAGTTTACAAGACTCTTAAAGGCCCTCCCGTTGATCGTCGATTTGCTCGAGCGGGCCCAGTAATGTCTCCATTGGAGACTTTGTTGTTACTGTGTCTGGCATATCGAATACTCTCGGTAGCTTGCCGGGCTCTCCGAGAGGGGCGGAGGAATCGAACTCGGGTCGGCCATGTTGGCTACGTGCAAGGCAGACGCCCTACCCGCTGTGCTATCGCTCCAGCCCAAGACTCTTACAGACTCTTTATTTATTTTGGAGTCTGGAACAACCGTAGGCCTCTTATATGTGAAGCATGTGCTCCGTCGCAGACACACGGCTTTTGTTTTGTATCGTTCATATTTGTTTGTAAGTAGCCACAACATTACTTTTCTGTTGTTCTTTTCGTTCTTCTCTATTAGAGTTTCTATTTAGGATTATTTGCCTATGGAGTCTTTGTAATAGTTTTGTTTTTTAGTGTGATCTGCTGCTGACAGATTCCCTCTTACCTTTTGTTTGTGTGAAAATGTTTTGCTTCCATGTGTGAAGACCATTTTCAGTGGGAATTTGAATTCTAGGTTAGCAGTTAAATTTCTTTCATTTTAATTTCATGTGGTGCAGGGGCCTCACAGATGCAAGGCATGTGCTTTACCACTGAGACACATCCCAAGCAGGGGGGCATATATATACTGCAGTTTACAAGGGCTACTCCTGGCTCTGTATTAAGAATTGCTTCTGGTGGTGCTCAGGGAACCATAGGGGTGCTGAGAATTGGCCCTCCTGCGTATAAAGCATGCATTGAGGTATTTCTCTGGGCTTTAGCAGTTAAATATATATATATATATATATATATATATATATGTGTGTGTGTGTGTGTGTGTGTGTGTGTGTGTGTATGTGTGTATACATATATATGGAAATATTACATTATCCTCTGTGTCCTTTATCCTCTGGAGCGATAGCACAGTGGGTAGTGCATTTGCCTTGCATGTAGCCGACCTGGTTTCAATTCCTCCATCCCTCTCAGAGAGTCCAGCAAGCTACTGAGAATATCCTGTCTGCACAGCAGAGCCTGGCAAGGTTCCCATGGAGTATTTGATATGCCAAAGACAATAACAACAAGTCTCACAATGGAGATGTTACTAGTGCATGCTTGAGCAAATCGATGAATAACGGGAGGACTGTACAGTGCTACAGTCCTTTGTGAAAAGTCATGGGTTGCATGATTGTTTCTCCACACACAACCTTCCACCCCTGCTTCCTGTCTCTTTGATGCTGTTACTGCAATGATTGGGAGTCACATTCAGTTGTGGTGCTCTGTCTATTCTAGTTGTGCTCACTGGGAATTGCGTCGATAATCATATACTTGTTTACTAGGCGCTATTGCTCGGGCTGGAGCAATAGCACAGCAGTAGGGTGTTTGCCTTGCACGTGGCCGGCCTGATTCGATTCCTCCACCCCTCAGAGAACCTGGCAAGCTACTGAGACTATCTCACCCACATGGCAAAGCCTGGCAAGCTACCTGTGATGTATTCAATTTGCCAAACACAGTAACATCAAGTCTCACAATTAGCTGTAGGACATTACTGGGACCGTTGGAGCAATTTGATGAACAACAGGAGGACAGTGCTACAGTGCTACAGTTTACAAGGAGATATTTCTGTTGTAGTGAGACTCCTGCTGCAGAGCTACTACATCTTTAAGGATTGCACACGTCAGTCTCTGTGATCACACATGCCTGTCTGAGCAGACTGGAGATTTCATTTTCACTTCTTATCTTTAGCAATTTTATTATGATGTACTTGGGGGGGGTATGTACATGTGTTCTCATGCATGTATGGGTATCACTGTCACTGTCGCTGTCCTCCCGCTGTTCATCGATTTGCTCAAGCAGGCCCAGTAATGTCTCCATTGTGACAGTTGTTACTGTGTTTGGCATATCAAATATGTTATGGGTAGTTTGCCAGGCTTTGCCATGCGGGAGAGATACTCTCGGTAGCTTGCCAGGCTCTCCGAGAGGGGCGGAGGAATCGAACTTGGGTTGGCCATGTTGGCTGCTTGCAAGGCAAATGCCCCATCCGCTGTGCTATTGCTCCGGCCCATGTATGGGTATATTTTTCTTTTTCTTGTTTTATGTTTTTGACTGGGTTTTAAATCAGATTTATTATATTTATTTGTTTTTGATTTTTGTTTTTATTTTGAGTAACACTGGTAGGGCTCAGGGCCTACTCCCAGCCCATGCTCAGGGATCGTCCCCTGCATTGCTCAGAGTTGGAACCTGGGGGACTCCATCATATGAAGCACATACCCCAGTTCATGGAGCTATCTCTTCAGTCCCTAAATCTGAGATTTAATGCATTCTATTTTTTAAAAATTTTTATTAGTGAGACATCATGAGGTACAGTTGCAGACTTACCAATTTTTGTGCTTGGGTTTCAATTATACAATGATCAAATACCCATCCCTCCACCAGTGCCCATTTCCCTCTATTTCTTAATTTTGAAAATGCCCCTGACATAATTTCTCTACATATTGCTTCTGCTCCACTATCTCTTTTCTTCCTGGGATTCCAGTGCTTGTATATATTCCTAATTTTCTGTGGACTATTAAGTTCATGTTTTCTTATATGTATTTTCCATCTCTCTGCTTCAATATTTCAGTCTGTATTTTCTTCCAGCCTTTCAGTTCACTAATTATCTTTTTAGCTGGATTCTAATTTTTTTCTTAAACCCAACCATTGAGTTCTAAATTCTAGTTATTATATTTTTCAGTTTTAGAATGTTGATTTTTATCCTTTTGCCAAAACTTTCCACCCAGTTATTTAATTTCTTAGACATATTAATTATAGGTTTTTTTTAAAGTTCATGCCTGATAATTATAATGTCTTAATAGTCTCTTCTGAGGATCTTTCTCTATTTGCTAACAGCCAAAAGAAGAAACAAACAGTTCTCTTTTGGTGTTCCTGATTATTTTTGATTGAGTACCAGATACTGAATGTCTAAAATTCTTCACTGCTGGTTCATATGATAATTTGAATTTCTGGATGTTGTTGTTTATTTTTTCCTCCAGAAATAATTTACTTTGCTCCTGGCAGTTGGTTAGGTTAGAAACAGGTCACCTAAATTCAATCAGGAAATGAGATATTCCAACACTAGTCTCAGTTCACACGATAATTTCTTTAATGCCTCATATGCTAACCAAAGAGGATCTCAATGGAAAGTCTAATGTGATATTGATCTGCACTCTTTAGAGGGTCATGAATTTCAATTATTTACTCTTCCTTGTGAGAATATCTAAAATCCTTTATTGCTTCTAAACTTTGTAGCCATAATTTTTAGTTGTTTCTCTGCTTAAGATTGATCTTGAAGCTACCAAATGTGATACAAATGTCAGTCAGACCTTTCTCTTGAGCTTACATTTTCTCTGCCTTGTTCAAATCAGTGCTTGTAATGCTGATATCTCTGCCTTGTCTTTCAACATTTAAAAAATATTTTTACTATGTTTGGTTAGATTGAACCACATGAACTTTGCTGTTCTCATATATCAAAACTGGTCACATCTTGGATCACATAGATCAAAATTCTCAGTTGGAGGGTTGGTCTAGAGCAAACTACTTATAGCACCATTGTTAGAAATAGAATTCTCAGGCTATAGAGGTAAAGTGATCAAATGCTACGGGCACACTGGATAAGGGTATAAAGATGAGCAATGCCTATTTTTCATTTCATTTCATCATCCTGTTATTCGTCGATTGCCTCGAGCAGGCCCCAGTAACGTCTCTTTCATCCTAACCTTGAGATTATATTCAAAGCTCTTTAGGAGAATGAGACCCAACATTGTTACTGGTATTTGGCATATTTGGTAAGCCACGGGGAGTTTGCCAGACTCTGCCCTGTGGGCAGGCTACATTCGATAGCCTGCAAGTTTGTCCAAAGTAGGAATGAGATAATAAGATGTCATAAAAGATGTTCTGATAAGAGAGTGGTCTCAGCATGGTGGTGGCTGGTCCTGGAGGTCTTCGGCTGCCAGAGCCCTGGTCGGGGCGGGGAGGAAAGCTCAACCCGCTCCCCTCCAACCGGCCCCGGCGGGGAACAGCCAGGCGCGGGGGCAGACTGCACTGTTCTCGTCCGGGAGATGGATTTTATAGCCGTGTAATCCCATCAACGGCCAAGACTCAGAGACTATAAAATCCAGAGAGCAATGCCTATATTCACATCTAAATATAGATGTTCATCAAAGAATTTTTTCCTATCGAATATGCATGTTTCTTATTTCTCAAAGTCAAGTTTAGAGAGCAAGCCAATTTCCTAGAAATCTCAACATAGGGGCAATAGTACAGTGGGTAGGGCATTTGCCTTGCACGTGGCAGACCTGAGTTTGATCACTCACATTCTATATGATCCTCTGAGTACCACCAGGAGTAATTTATTCATGAATGCAAAGCCAAGAGTAACTCCTGAGCATCTCCAGGTGTGGCCACAAACCAAATCAAACAAAAAACTAAACAAAACCAAGAAATAAGTAACCCAGAATCTCAATATAGTCACTGTCACTGTCACTGTCCTCCTGTTGTTCATCGATTTGCTGGAGCGGGCCCAGTAATGTCTCCACTGTGACAATTGTTACTGTCTTTGGCATATCGAATATATCACGGGCTTTGCTGTGCGGGCGAGATAACTCTTGGTAGCTTGCCGGGCTCTCTGAGAGGGGCGGAGGAATTGAACTTGGGTCGGCCATGTTGGCCTCTTGCAAGGTAAACACCCTACCCGCTTCATGTACTTGAAAACATGAGTTTTAGGAAACTGTACTTAAAAATATTTCAGGGTGGGGTAGGGATTTGGGCCACACCTGGCTGTGCTCAGGTCTTCCTTCTGACTCTGCTCAGGAATTACTCCTGGCATTGCTAAGAGTGGATATAATATATGATGCCCAGAATCAGAATGAAATCAGCTGCATGCAAAGTTTCTAAACTCCCCCCCTTTCTTTTCTTTTTTTTTTCTTTTTGGGTCACACCCAGCGATGCACAGGAGTTACTCCTGGCTCATGCACTCAGGAATCACTCCTGGCGGTGCTTGGGGGACCACATGGGATGCTGGGAATCGAACCTGGGTCAGCCGCGTGCAAGGCAAACACCCTACCTGCTGTGCTATTGCTCCAGCCCCATCCCTTATTTTTTAAAAACTCATATTTTTCTTCTTTTCTTTTTTCTGAAGGATTGTTTATGGATGCCCAAGTGCATCAAGTTTGGGTGGTTCCTGCCCTATACACCAACAGATAAAGAGTATGGTGCTTGGAAGCATCATTACATTGCTTGTGTGTCCAGCTTAGACTGGCTAACACCTCGGGAAGCTGCTGCTATTTATGGGACCTTGAATGAGCCCAAAGCAGGAGATGAGGAGCTACAGGAGAGACAAAGAGAAAAGTGCCTGAGGAAAATAATTTGGGAGAACATTGCACTGCGTAAGAGTGAGTGGAATTGAAAACCTTCTTTCTTAGCCAAGTTTTGTAGATATAACTGAATGTACACACAAATCTCTACAGGTACAATTTTTTTCTGAAATGCCATGTAGGTTGTACTTCTCTAAAGAATAGTCAGAACAAGTTCTAATTTTCTTTCACTACATAATTCTAGTTGATGAATAAGAAAAACAATTCTTCAGTTAAAATTATAACATACCTCGGTGCTGGAGTGATAGCACAGCGGGTAGGGCGTTTGCCTTGCACGCTGCCAACCTAGGTTCAATTCCCAGAATCCCATATGGTCCCCTGAGCACCACCAAGAGTAATTCCTGAGTGCAGAGCTAGGAGAAACCCCTGAGCATCGCCGGGTGTGACCCCAAAAGCAAATATATATATATCATACCTCGATTTTAGCCCTAGTTCCTCTCAGGTTTATAAGAGCAACATAGGGGAAAAAAGAGGACTTATGAACACAGCAAAAAGCAAATACCTATTTTTAAGATACAAAAATTTGAATTAGTGAAAATGGAGGGAAAATGAAGGTAGTAACAGGAAGAATGGCATAAAGAGATTGTGGGAAATGGCAGAATTGAACTTTGTGTTTTCCTTGAGCCTCACCTGGTGATAGTCAGAGGTTTTGCTTGGCTCTTGGTTCAGTGGTGATCTCTGCTATGCTTGGGGGACCCCATAGGGTCCAGGGGATCCAAACCCTGATAATGCCACTTGCAAGGCAAGCACCTGACCTCCTATACACTCTCCTATTTAAGAGAAATGGCCTTTGAGGGTGAGCTTAATGTGTATGCTGATATTCATAAAAGTTTTGTACTATTATCAATATTTTTTTAATTGGGGGTGAGGAGAGAATGGCTGTTTGCTGTGGATAAAAGCAGTCAACAAAAGTGAATTTGAACCCCCTCCCCAACCTTTCTTTGTTCCTTTAAACACTGATTCACCCTCTGTGAGAGCCTAATCAATGGGAAACGACTTGAAGCCCAGGAGAAGGGCAGAAAAGGCTGTGCAGTCTAACGTTGGATTGGTTTCCACCAGCAAGGAATTGCCTGTTTCCTGAGCTTTGTTTCTTGGCCTGAAATGCCCAGTGGCTTGCAGAGGCTGTGAGAATGACACATGATTGGCATGTGGCATGTGGAATGTCTGCAACTTCTGTTGCTGCTACCTTTATCTATGTGGACATCGTCCTCCAGCCCAGTCAGCCACTGCTTGCTTTTCAGAGAAGTTATTCAAAGGCCGGCCCCCTTGGTCCAGCGGAACCTGCTGCTCCAGATTGCTCCACTCCAAAAGCCAACCATGGCTCTCCCAGCCTGCGTGGGATCGGCAAGGTCTGCATGAAGCTTTGGAGAAACAGCTCGTTCTGGCATCCTTGGAGGCACTGCCCTGGAGGTAGGACAACCTTCATCTCCCAAAGCCCAAAGAGCATTGCATGATTCCAAGGACCCCTCTAGAACACATGCAGGGGTCTTAAATGATATCTCTTCCGTGAATGAGCGATAGTAGCAGTGCTACAAGCTTTGGGGACAGGGGTTTTGAACATGCTTTTTTGAAGAGGGAAGTAGCTAGCATCTGAATTTGAGGTCTCACTTATTCGTAATTCTGCAGAGGCCATCTTGTTAATATTGGGAGATTTTCCTGTAGCAAGTTAATGAACAAAACATTTTTCAGAAAACTGTGTCTTAAAGAATAAGTGTATTGATAATACTATGGGGTCGGGGAGATTGTGGAAGGAAGTGAAGGCATTACTCAGAAAACTGTAAGGCCCTAATGATCCCTTAGATGCTCCTTCTAATTTGGGGCCACACCTTCACCTACCCAGCAGTACTCGGGGATTACTTCTGGCTCTGTACTCAAGGATCATATCTAGCTGTACTTGGGGGATCATACACAGCGCCACAGATAAAACTGGGGCTACCTGCATGCAAAGCAAGGGCCCTATGCCCTGTACTATCTCTCAGGCCCTTTGATGCACCTTTTGTTTTTGTTTTTTTTGAGGGAGAGGGTCATACCTAGTAATGTTCAGGGGATTACTCCTGGCTCTGCACTCAGGAATTACTCCTGGCAGTGCTTGAGGGACCATTTGGGGATGCTGGGGATTGAACACAGGTTGACCACATACTATGCTCCTTCCTTTTTCTTTTTTTAATGTAGGAGTACTGCTATTTATTCAGCCACTGATTAGCTGATTGAATTGTGTATGAACTCCACCTTACTTTTTTTCCCATTTTTTATAATTTTATTTATTGAATCACCATGAAAGCAGTTACAAAGCTTTCGGGTTTAAGTCTCGGTCATACAATGAAACACCCGTACCTTCACCAGTGCCCATTCTCCACCACCAAAAACCCCAGTATACCCCCATCTTACACCCTCACCCTACCTGTGGGGCAGATGATTTCCACATTACTCTCTCTCTACTTTGATCACATTCAATATTTCATCACCAAACCCACCATTATTATTTGAGATTTTACCCCAACACTCAGATCTGCTGAAAGGGCAACAGTAGACAATTTGTGTTCTATTGCTGGTTATGAATAACATATAATGTCATGTGGCTGCAGTAGGGCCATGTGATTTTGAAATTCCAAAATTTTAACACTTAAATCTGGAGGGATTTCTGCCAAAAGCCACTGGGTTTCGAGATTTGCTCCTGAGTCTCTGGGATCATGGCCATTGAGCAGCTTGATCAGGAGCCAGAGAAGCTGTTTGGGGGCGATGATTTGGGGTCTCGTTGGGGTGGGGAGGACAGTCCCGCCCCCCCATCCCCCCATCCCATGAGGCCCAACAAGTTTTGTCACTGCGGGCCGAGACCTGACTGTCCAATGGCCACTGGAGGATGATGGCCACTGAGCTGTCAAGGGGGAGCAGGTGGAGGGACAACACCCTTTCCCCCCTGGGGTGGCCCGGTGACAGTAACCTACTGCTGGGTCTGGATGCATTTCTGCCAAAAGCCACTGGGTTTCGAGATTTGTTTCTGAGTCTCTGGGATCATGGCTGTTAAGCGGCTTGATCAGAAGCCAGAGAGACCGTTCGTGGGCGATGACTTGGGGTCTCGTTGGGGTGGGGAGGACAGGCCCGGCTCCACCCCCATCCCATGAGGCCCAACAAGTTCCGTGACTATGGGCCCAAGCCTGAGTGTCCAATGGCCTCTGGAGGATGATGGCCACCGGGCCGCCCAGGGGAACAGGCCAAGGCACGAAACCTATTCCCACCTGGGTTAGCTCAGCACTGGTAACCTACTGCAGGGACAGGAAGCATTTCTGCCAAAAGCCGCTGGGTTTTGAGATTTGTTTCTGAGTCTCTGGGATCATGGCCATTTAGCAGTTCAATCAGGAACAAGAGAGGTCATGCCTCTAATTATATAGCTGAGCCAGAGGTGGTTTGTGCGTGTGTTTCCCACATACCTAACTTTTGGCCATTTACTTTCTTGGTAAACTTTGCCCCAAGTTTTTTGGGTCTGGCCAAAGGCACAGCTGCAATTTTGGGGTATCTTTAAGTCTGAAGGCGCCATGAGGCTGCTGATGCACTCGCCTCACAGGTACAGATTGACCTGCTGGCGGCACCATACCCCCGCTATGCTCTTTTTTAATAATTCATGGTTAGCCATTAAGTGTGTGGCTGCCATGGTCTTGTTTCACAGAAGCCAAGTAAATTCTGAGAAACTTGTCATCTTGCCCCACCTAGAGGAGGTGATGCCCCCAAAGCAGTTTTGACCCAACCTGCCCAAATCCCATTTGTGGTTGTTCCCCAAACCCCCAGGGACAGAGTAAGAGAGTGGCTGCCTTATCAACAACTGAGAGGCCCAGAGAACGCAGTGGTACTCACAGAGTAATATCTAAAGAGCAAATGAAGACTTTGCTGTTCTTCCTTCTTGTTTTTAGAAGCAATGTCTCTGGAAGCCGTTCCTACCCTTTATTGAATAGCAGCTGGCGAGGGCTTTCTCCGAGTGACGACAGCACCTCTCGCACAAGCTCTCCACACCTGATAGTCATTTCATCTCGGATTCCCGCCCATGAGGTAGCATGCGTGGGGAATCAGCCCTTTGCCAACCAGGATTTTTTTTTTAGAGGAAGGAGAACAATCTCTGGGCCGTTACGTGTATGCAAGTGATCCTTCTCCTCAAGGAACAGTGAACTGATTGAAGTGAATATAAAGAGACCCAAAAAAAGTGTGTGTGTGTGTGTGTGTGTGTGTGTGTGTGTGTGTGTGTGCGTGCACGCGCGTGCGTGCGTGCGTGTGCGCTGCAGTGCTGGGGATCAACATCAAGGCCCACATTTGAGGTATGTGCTCTCCAGCTGAGTCATATCTCCAAATCTCCAACCCCCAAACTTCTAAAATGAGAAATATGGGGTTGGAGAGATAGTACTGGGATTAAGTCACTTGCCTTGTACATAGCCGACCTCAGTTTGATCCCTGGCACCACCAGGAGTGGTCCCTGAGTACAGAGCCAGGAGAAAGCCTTGAGCATAGTTGGGGTTGGCCCTATAACAGGCAACAACGACAAAACCTTATTGAATTGAAATTCTTTCACTGAATCCAAAAAGATGTGAATTTATTAAGAATTATATTAAAAATTATTTGGAGTGCCCAGAGAATTTAATAACACCATGGAAAACCTCAGATGATGCAGATAAGAGGGGCCAAGGATGAGGATGAAGCCCTGCAGTGAAATTGGGTCCTGTATATGTGAGGTTCTGGATTTCAGCCCCCACACCACAGGATATGTGTGGGGAACATGCATGTATACACATATGCACAGGGCTTGTGTACATATTTGCATGTGAAAGCTCCAGATTCCCCTGACACCACATGGTTCCCCAAGCACCCCTAGGAGTGACACTCTTCCCTTTCCTGCAAATAATAAGCCTTTGAGCATCACTGGATGTGGTTCCTCTAGAGTAAAGAAAAAGCGTATAGTTATATATTTATTATATATGTAATATAATAGATAGCTGTAAATACAATTTTATTATAGGGATTTTTTTTCACTTTTTTAATAAAATCACTATAAGATAGACCCTTACAAAGCTGTTCCTGATTACGGTTCAGTTATACAGTGTTCCAACACCCATCCCTTCACCAGTGTACGTTTCCCAGTACCAGTATTCCCCAGTTTCCCGTTGGATGTGTCTCAAAAACTGAAAAAAAAAATGGAAAAAAAGAAAGTTCTCTTAAGAAAAATTGTTACTTGGCCGAGATTAGTACCAGGAATTTTGCTCCATGGCTTGGAGGCCAGCCACACATGCTAGGGGAAAAGGGAGCTCAGATAGAGAAGGGAGCACCAAATAAAGGATGTTGGGAGGATCCTCCCAGGATGGGAGAAACATGCTGAAAGTAGACTATAGACCAAACATGACTGCCACTCAGTGCCTCATTTGCAAACCACAACACCCAAAAGGAGAGAGAGAACAAAAGGGAATGCCCTGCCACAGAGGGAGGGTGGGATGGGGGGAGGGGGGAATGGACATTGGGATCCATGGTGGTGGGAAATGGGCACTGGTGGAGGGATGGGTATTTGATCATTATATAATTGAAACCTAAGCACAAAAATTTGAATTTGTAAGTCTACAACTATACTTCATGGTGTCTCACTAATAAAAAATTAAAATTAAAAATTTTTAAAAAAATAAAGAAAAATTCTTACTTGTACCAAAATGATTATTCCCAAGATATAAGATCTCTTTCTTGACATCTTAAGATTCACTTTGATGGTTTACAGCTGACAATTTAGTAAAACTACATGAACAAAAAATCAGAGTTTTGATCTTGCGTGTCACAGAATTCCCACAACATGCTGGTACAGAGGATAATTGGTATCATGGAGTGGGTGGGTAAATAAGTCCATCTTCTGCTTTGTCTTTCTTATATGACCCTTATTGAGTATGAATGTGATTGAAGTAAAATGTGATTAATGAAGCCAAGTAATAACTCACCAACTGACCTAAAGTTTGGGATAAAAGATTAATTTCAGTGACTTCACATCCAGTCCATTGCCAATGGTAAACTTTGCCCAATGGAAAACGCACTTGGTTGTTGGATTCAAAGAGTAGTGGGTTTAAAATTTATTTTAATGAAAAATATTTATGTCAGTTGTGTAAACTCAAAAAAGACAGCAGCAACGGTCTATCTGTCCCGCCGCCAGCGTTCGGTAGTCTCATGCCACTTCCCCTACCCCGGGAGGTCGATGGCGATGGGCAGGCAAGGGAAGGAACGAGGGCCGGGCTGGTTCATGTCAGTTGCAGTTTATTCCAATCCTCTCTCCATCCACTCCTGTCTCTCTCCTCTGCCTCTCCTCCTGCTTCTTCCTCCCCCATGCTACTTCATTCTCCTTCTCAATCCCCCTTCATCCTCCTTCTCTGGAGTCTGGATTCTGATCCCCCAGCCCACTCTTACAGTACAGTTAAATCCCAAAGCTTGAGGGGTTGGGGTAACAATTACACATAGGTGCGATTACAATCAGTAGGGGTAGAATTCTTTCCCTCGGGGACATCCGCTTCTAGGACAGATCCTCATTATCAGGTCAATCCACCCTAGAGCTGATTCCCCTGGCTGTGTTTCTCCTCTCCTTGTCTAACAAACATATAAGCATAGATAATATAAATAATTTTGAATGGATACAGTAAAGAAATACCTTAAACTTATAGAATTGCTCTCGTAGGGCCATCTCAATCTCAGACTACAGTGCTCAGACCAGATGGTCTTTCTTATCCCTAGCAGGGTCCTAGTCTCATCATTACTTTTGGATCATGACAGTATTTGTCTATGATCAAACTCTAAACTTATAGTTAAGAATCATGGCACTTTGGCCTAGCCCATTTCGATGCCAGGGTAGCTCACCGCTGGCCCTGGGTCCATTCAGTCCCTCATCGGGACCCTGCTTTTGGGGTGTTAGGAACTAAGGGCAACTGAGGCTTAGGTCGAGAAAGCAGATGTCCGGGAAGTGAATAATATTCAAAGCCAATTAAATCCTAAATTACAAAGCATAATGTTAATGGTCTTCCTGTATCCATACAAAAAGGGCATTGCTTTAAAGTAGACTATTCATAAGACATAGGGAGAGGAGAAAGGCAATATTTCACTCATACATATAAAATCATAGATTTCTGAGGAATCTAACCTTACAAGTTGCAGGGTCTGATTAGGGGAAAAGCTGATTCACTGGTTGGGGAGGAGAGCATAGGGAAGAATTCACAGATAAACACAATGGAATGGAAGTGCCTCAGGAGCACTGTGATAAACCTGAGTTCCTCGTGGCAAGGGGGGAAGGGCAAATCAATGTTGAGCCTAAAATATTTGGAGCTATATTCCAACAGTCAGTGTTGATGATTCAAAAATTTACAAGAGGAAAACCTCAAATCCATTTCATAAACTCATTGCAAAATTATTTTTTTCTTGATCATACCAGGACTGGAGCGATAGCACAGTGGTAGGGCGTTCGCCTCACAAGCGGCCAACATGGCCGACCCGAGTTCGATTCCTCTGCCCCTCTCGGAGAGCCCGGCAAGGTACCGAGAGTATCTCGCCCGCACGGCAGAGCCTGGCAAGCTCCCCGTGACCTATTCGATATGCCAGACACAATAACAACAAAGTCTCCAATGGAGACGTTACTGGGCCCGCTCGATCAAGTCCTTTACCTTTACCTTACCAGGCTGTGCTCAGAGGTTACTCCTGGCTCTGCACTCAGAAATTACTCCCAGCAGTTCTTGGGGGGAACTGTATGGGATGCCGGGGATTGAACCTGGGTTGACCACATGCAAGGCAAATACCTCTACCCTCTGTGCTATCTTTCCTGGCCCCCAAATTATTTCCTCTTCTTTGGGGGCAGGGAGGTCACATCCAATGATACTCAGGGGTTGCTCCTGGCTTTGAGCTCAGAAATAACTCCTGACATGCTTGGGGAACCATATGGAATGCTGGGGATCTAACCCATGTCGACTGTGTACAAGGCAAACATCCTACCCTCTATACTATCATTCTGCCGCCTCAGTTTTAAAAGTCTCTGTATATGGATGTGTATAAGGACAAAAAGACAGAAGTGGCCTAACTTTGTAGTAGAATGTAGCTCTGAATGAAGGGGTTACAATACTTGATTTTCTCCTCTTATGATTCAAAAAGAAATAAAATCATGAAAAAAGGAAACTCTCTTACTTCTCCTAAACTTGTAAATAATAAAAGCCATAGATTGTATAATTACATCAGATTACGTAGCTATTATTATCATTATTACTGTATTTTGGGACCAAACCTAGTGGTGCTTAAGGGCTACTCTTGACTCTGTGCTCAGAGATCACTCCTGGTTGCTGCTTGCGGGACCATATGTGGTGCTGGGGATCGAACCTGGGTCAGCTTCATGCTCAGAAAGCTCCTTACCCACTGTATGATTTCTCCAGCCCTCCCTCCTATGGTATTGGATCAAACTATACTTGAAAACAATGGTCTTGAGTTCCAGCACTTTACTTTTCTCTCTTCTAGATGCTGGTGGCCAGTGTGAGGGCAGGGATAATTTCTCTGGTGTATGATCACAGTGGCATAACCCTGGAGAGCCTGCTTTATCTCATAGACAAAGCTCTGGATGGACAGAGGGTAACGAGCATGGGAATATTTAGCGACGGAAATAGCAGAGAAGTCAATTTACTCCAAGGTAAGTCTGAGCATTGGGTCGAACATCCCACTTTGAACCGGCTTGATGTTTGCCCTCATGAATGGCCTTTGGAGTAGGATTTGATTGCCAGGTTGCTGAGAGAATATTGTGATCCCCTGATCCCAGCAGTACGATTGACCTTGTAGTCAAGGGAGGGTCCGCCTTTTTGTTCTTCCATCCTTCGAGTGATTGGATGAGGTCCACCTGTAACGGAGAGAGTAATCTGCTTCATGGAATCTACCTCCTCAGGTACTAATATCATCCTTAACCTTACAGACATGCTCAGAATAATGTTTGACTAATTATCTGGGTCCTTATGGCACAATCCTGTTGACAGGTAAAATCAACCATCACACCATTAAAGAATAGCACTCCTTGCCCCCATCCTTGTAGCCCCTAGGGACCACTTACTATTTTACTTTACTTTCTATTTCTCTAAGATGTCACCACCTTAGCCATCTCATATTAGTGATAACATCACTTAATCTCTTAACTTCCCGTTAGTCGTCGATTTGCTCGAGCGGGTGCCAGTAACGTCTCCATTTGTCCCTGTCGCGTGCTAGTGTAGTCCAATCGCATCTGTTCGCTCCGGGAACAAGAAGGGCCTCAAACCGATCGTTCATGATCTTGACGAAGAAGTCTGACCATCTGGAAGGTGGGCGGCCACGCGGTCTTTTGACATCCCGTGGAATCCCTCTCAGAAAGACTGGCAAGCTACCGAGAGTATTCTGCCCGAACGGAAGAGCCTGACAAGCTATCCGCTGTGTATTCGATATGCCAAAACCAGTAACTACAACTGGTCTCATTCTCAGTGATAACATAGTACTTGAATTTTTGTGATTAGTTTATTTTTCTAATGTCCTCAACGTCCATCTAAGCTGGAACATGTGACTGGATATTCTTCCCTTGTTTTAATCATTGAATAATATTCTATTTCAAGAATATACCACAGTTTATCTCCCCACACCACACCAATATTGCTAGGAATCATATTCAGGGCCTTACATGTGAGATGTTTGTGCTCCCATGGGCCCTACTTATAACCATCCCTTCATCTGTGATGGAGATTTGGCTTGCTTTTACCCCATGGCCCTTGTGAGTAGTGCTCTTCTCTGAAGCCAGAGCAGTAGTACAGCAGGTAGGGCATTTGTCTTGCACACAGCCAATCTAGGTTTGATCCCTGGTACCCTATATGGTCCTCTGAGCCTGCTAGGAGTCATCCCTGAGCATAAATCCAGGAGTAAGCTCTGAGCACCACCAGGTGTGGCCCTAAAACATATATATGTATATGTATACTGTATGTACATACAGATAGTAGATTAACAGACAGATATATAGCTTGCTCTTCTCCACATGGGTGTGCAATTTTGTCTCTGAAATTCTGCTTTCAGTTCCTCTGGCTACATATCCAGAAGTAGGATCACAAGGATTTCTCTTCTTAATATTTTGAGGAAGCACTTCATAATAGCTGGACCACTTTGCAGTCTGACCAGTTGTGAGCAAGGGGTCCAATTTCTTCACGCCCCCATCCACACATATAATTTTGTAACTTGGGGGTGGGGAGTATTTGGCTTACCTCTCTCTGATGGTTCATGGTGCTATGCTCCTTTCATATGCTTGTTAGCCATTTATATAACATTTCCACAGCAATGACTCTTCTTATCCTTTATCCATTTTTCATTTGGTCTATTTGATTTGGTGATTGAGTTAGAGGTCCTCGTCATAGCATCCGAGTGATTGGCAAACATTTTTTGCCCATTCTGTGGGTAATCTTCCCTCTGCTGATGAAATCTGCAAGGCACCAGAGTTGTTCAGGCTGATGAAAGGGAAGCAATTTTCAGAGCAGCAAACCAAGACCTATAAATCGCTGGACATTAGCAAAATTCTTTATACTCCTAAATGGCTTCTCTCACAAAGGAAAGGATTGACTGATGGTGCCAATTAGTTCTGGACCATCTTTGAAAAAAATTTTAATAGCTAAGTTCTTGGGGAGAAAGAAGATGATGAGCACAGCTGGGTTTGGCCCGAGAACAAATAAACTGATAATAGTAACAATAACACAGGGCTGGAGCCATAGCACAGTAGATAAAGCTTTTGTCCTGACTCAGCTCACCTGGGTTTGAGTCCTGACATACTTATGGTTCCCTGATCCAAGCCAGAAGTGATCCCTGAGCATAGAGCCCAGAACACTGCTGGGTGTGGCCTCCAAACTAAAATAAATAAATATTGTATTGTAGCACTGCACTGTAGCACTGTCCTCCCATTGTTCATCGATTTGCTCAAGCGGGCACCAGTAACGTCTCCATTGTGAGACATGTTGTTACTGTTTCTGGCATATGGAATACACCATGGGGATCTTGCCAGGCTCTGCTGTGTGGGTGGGATACTCTCAGTATCTTGCCAGGCTCTCTGACAGTAGCAGAGGAATCGAACCTGGGTCGGCCGCTTGCAAGGCAAACACACTACCCACTGTGCTATTGCTCCAGCCCAAATTTTGTATTAATTAATTAAATGAATTTAAAAAATAGTAACAATAACAAAATGTCAGAAAACTGAAATGTCCTTTGATACAACTGTTATTTTTCTGGAAAGCTTTTGTTTTCAAAACAAAATGCAGGCTTGGTAACCCAAAGCATAAGTGCATATGTTTGTGGGAAGCCCAGGTTCTAAGCCTGGACCCTCATGGTCCCCTGAACACCAAACCAGGAGTAGCCCCTGAGTATCACCAGGGTGTAGCCCCCAGCTTCCCAGAAGCAAGCACACAAAACTGTAATTGTCTCATACTCCATTCACCTGGAGAGATGTTGACCTGCCGGGTTTCCTTGCTAACTCTGTCTTCATTCCCTGGCTGGGGTTCGGGAATGCGAAATCATCTGGACTCTTTCAGCAGAGGTCATAAACACACACAGATACTCTGGGTCTTTGGCCAGCGTGCCCAGCAAATAAGGATCTCTGACACATTCACCACCTTAAGGACCTTCTGCTCCGAGTGACTTAGTTTTTGATTGGTCACTGCAGGAACTATTTTTGTACTCCAGTTTGATTGTAAAATCCCAAGTCCCACCAGCCACCCACCTTCAGCTCCACTTTAAGCCCTGTACCGCTTCACACTGCTGCATAGTGGATGCAAAGAGAAACACGTTATTCTAAACCTGAGCGTGCAGTGCCTGAGAAATCCTTAATGGGAGGGAGTCTGAGGGCACTGGGACCCTTGTGACCCTAGCATGGTGCAGCAAGGAAGTGGGGTAGGAGGGTGGCCTGAAGATCTTGGTCTTAGAAACAGAAGCTGATAGGATGGCACTCTGCATGTGGTGGCACTGGGGATTAAACTCATGACCTTACACTTATCCAAGCACTGCTTAAGCCATCGAACCATCTTTTAAAGTACCTCCAGGAATTGGCTTGCCATTAAAAATTTTTTTCTTCTCTCTCCCCTTACCTTCATTGTTGTTTGCTATGAGCAGGATGGCACACCCTCCTGGATGTAATGCTCACTGAGCACTGCATCTCACATTGTGGTGCTTGCATACTTGGCCAGGGTGCTCATCAAGGTTGCATTGCTGTAGTGGCAGAGCTTGCACACATGCTTGCCGGAGAATGGAGACACAAGTTTTTGTTACGGTACTTGCCAGGGGTCGCTGTGGTGCTCATACAGTGCTCCCAAGGGTTACATTTCCCGGCTGTGATGCTTGCATGCCTTTTTGTACTTGTGGTGGTCTGGGGGAGGAAAGGTCACACCCCTTTTTTTGTGCTCACACATATCTGACTGAGGCACAACCAAAAATCACTTGCAGCTCTGGGCATCACACACAGCAGAGCTGCCAGCCTCAGAGCGCAAAGCAACTAGGACCACATGTCGTGCTTCTGGGATTTGAGCTCATGACTTGACGCTTGCAGGCTCCCATTCAAAGCCCCCTGTGTTCATCCTCTGGCCCCACACATTGGCTATCTGAATTGTGGTCGCATTTTCACAAAGTGCCAAGTTTCTGTGCTTGATAATATTGTCACTTGTCACTTGTCATCTTGTTGTTCATCAATTTGCTCAAGCGGGTGCCAGTAGTGTCTCCATTCATCCCTGTCGCATGATTGTGTAGCCCAGTGGCATATTGGGGGCCCTTTCAGGGTCAGGGAAATGAGATCTGTTATTTTTACTGTTTTTGGCATATTGAATATGCCACGGGTAGCTTGCCAGGCTCTGCCATGCAGGCAGGATACTCTCAGTAGCTTGCTGGGCTCTCCAAGAGGGCAAGGAAATACTGCTTCACTCTCTTCTGGGAGTTTTATTTTATAGTCTCTGGGATCTTGGTCATTGATGAGATTACATGGTGCTGGGGGCGGTTTGTGGGTGTGACTGCCAAGCTACTGGAAAATGGGGGATCTGGGTGGAGGAGGCCCAGTCCTCATCCGAGCAGGCTTGGAGATCTCAGCCCTGGGTTCCGCATACCTGGGTTCCTCTGTGGGTTCCCTCATGGCGAGGCTCATCTGAGCTTGTGGAGAGTGGCCTTCAGCATGGCTGTGACTGGGTTCTGGAGGTTTTCGGCTGCCGAGGCTCTGCTTTGGGGCGGGGAGGGAAACTCAACCGGCCCCCATCCAAGGTGCCCTGGTGAAGACAGCCTGGCGTGGGGGCAGGAGATTCTGCATGATAATATGACAAACTAATATGCAGCTTGGATTCTACTCTCCTTTCCCGCCCCCACCCCCATGCCCACTCCCACCCCATCCAGGCTATGAAATTGGTGTTAAAAATGTATTGCGGCCCGAAGTGAGAGATTTCTGGGAGAAACTAGGAAGCTACGTGGTCCCTGAAGAAGAAGGGGGTCATGTGGATCTCTTTGTACCACTTGGAGCATCAGGTGAGTTTTGAAAGCGAATGGTCCTACTGCTTTAGGATGAGAGTTCGTGAGTTTGTGAGACTCCTCTGGTCAGATGATTCAGCCTCAGTTTACTTTTACTTACTCTCTCTCGGTACTTCACATACTCAGGCATTTACTTATAATATTATTTGGGTGGGGGTTTGAGCCATACCCTTTTAGTGCTCTGGGATTATTACTGACTCTGTGCTCAGGAGTGACTCAGGTGGTTCTAAGGGACCATATATGGTGCCAGGAATTTGAACTAGGGTCGGTGGCGTGCAAGGCAAGTGCCTTAGCCCCTGTACCGTCTCTTGGGCACTAGGCATTTGGGGGAAGTGGATTTGAATTCAAGGTCAGGAATACTTGTTCCTACTGAAATAGTCACTCAGCAAAAGCCAGCAGTAGCAGCCCTTTTTTCCCCTTCTTTCTAGGAAATATACCAAGTTCTGTCTCCTCAATATAAAGAAAGTGCCTGACCAGAATAGAAAGCATACCTGGTCAGTCCAAGCAAACTTGCTGCCCTACAGCACCGCCCCACCCTCTACCTCCTGGGTTTGGTTACCCGCAGAATGACGAGTATGAACTTGGTAATCAAAGACCTAGGTTTGAATCTCACTCAAGCCATCTCGGCTGTGTGGCCTTAGCAAGTGTTTTTGAACCCCTCACCCTGGCCCCCCTTTTCCTCCCCCGGATATGAGAACAATACTTTACCTCACAGGATTTGTGATTCTCTAAATAAACACTGGAACAAGAAAAATGAGAAATACGATAGAATATTTAGAGCGATAGCACAGCGGGTAGGGCGTTCGCCTTACACGCGGCCAACATGGCCGACCCGAGTTCGATTCCTCCGCCCCTCTCGGAGAGCCCGGCAAGCTACCGAGAGTATTCGATATGCCAGACACAGTAACAACAAAGTCTCCAATGGAGACGTTACTGGGCCCGCTCGAGCAAATCGACGATCAACGGGAGGGCCTTTACCTTTACCTTACCTTACATGCTTTGTAAAGGTATGGTGGATAATCACGAGATTGCTCCCATAATACTACATGTCTCCTGTCACCTCTCAGTCACAATAATTCAAAGTTGATTTCATGACTAGAAGGGAAAACTTGGAATACAAAAAAAACACATTTTTGGTTTTTTTTGTTTTGTTTTGGGACCACACTTGGCTGTTCTTAGGGCTTGCTTCTGGCAGGCTCAGGGAACTGGATGGGATGCAGAGAATCGAATCCAGGTCAGCCATGTGCAATACTTTACCTGCTGTACTATAGCTTTGGCCTTCCTTTAGTTGTTTTGTTTTTCTGTTGTGAAACAAGTTGGGGAAAAGGAGTTTAAAATTCTTTTTTTTTTTTTTTTTTTTGCTTTTTGGGTCACATCCGGCAATGCACAGGGGTTACTCCTGGCTCTGCACTCAGGAATTACTCCTGGCAGTGCTCAGGGGACCATATGGGACACTGGGACTCGAACCCGGGTCAGCCGCGTGCAAGGAAAATGCCCTACCCACTGTGCTATCGCTCCAGCCCCAAGGAGTTTAAAATTCTTAGACTTTTAAACTTTAACCCATTCTGTGGGGAATTATGAATTTTAAAGTTCTTCATCCTCAGATTTCACAGGCTTATTCTCCCCAACTTTAACCCGAGGCAAACCACCACTCTGCTTCGTTTCACTCCATATTAATTTGAATTTTAAACTATTTCCATAAGTAGAATCATTCACTATACATGATCGTTTGAGTCAGAATTCTTCCACTCAGGATAATTATTTTCAAACTTATCCATTTGCTGGATGTTCAGCAACTTGATTTTTGGTTTTGTTTATGGGGGCCACTTAGGAACTACTCCTGGCTGTGTGCTCAGGGATCCCTACCTTGTGATACTCTGGGAATGATCTGTGGTGCTGAGGATTTGCACTGGGGTTGGCAGCATGCAAAGCAAGTGCTTTATCTGCTGTGCTTCCCATCTCTCTGATGGCAGGCTTGTTTTCTTTCTTTCTTTTTTTTTGGGGGGGGGGTTGTGGGTTGGTTTTTTTCTTTTTCTCTCTCTTTTTTTCTTTTTGGGCCACACCTGGCGATGATGCTCAGGGGTTACTCTCTGCACTCAGGAATTACTCCGGGCGGTGCTCAGGGGACCATATAGGATGCTGGGAATTGAACCCGGGTCGGCTGCGTGCATGGCAAACGCCCTACCAATCCACAGTGGTATCGCTCCAGCCCCAAGGCTTGTTTTCTTAATGCCAGGAATGAGTGCCCTTTTTTGTTGTTTTCGGCCACAGCTGGTGATGCTCAGGGGTTACTCCTGACTCTGTGCTCGGGAACTACTTCAGGTGGTGCTGAGAGGACTATCTGGGATGCCGGGAATTGAACTTGGGTCGACCATGTGCAAGGGCCCCGAAGTGCCACCAACTCCAAGGTGGTCAGAGGCACTACCAGACGTGGCCCCAAAACTAAACAAACAGCCTTGGTTCAGGAAGGTGGTTCAGAGACTGAAACACATGGTGTTTGTGCACAGAGTCCTGGGTTTGACCCTGAGCATGGCTTAGACATCCCCGACCATCCCCCAGCACAGTCAGATATTGCCTGGTGGTCCAGAACACCTGGGCCGGATTGGCATGGCACCAGCAGGTTTAACCCATGTGGTCCTGTTGAGGTTGGCAGGAGATGACCCTGGACCCTGACATGACCGATTGTTATATTTAGCAAGGTTTTTTGTGTTTTTTTTTTCCCCAAGGGTGGGGACCCATATCCAGTGGTCCTCAGAGTTTATTCCTGACTCTGAACTCAGAAGTTACTTTTGGTGGTGCTCGGGGGACCTTGTGGGATGCTGGGAATCAAACCCAGGCCTGCCACGAATAAGGCAAGCACATTACCCACTGTGCTATCGTTCCGGCCCCTTTCTTTAATAGTTTTTATTTGTTTGGGGGGGAACCTCCTAAATTATGCTCAGGGGGCACCAGGTTCCTCATTGTTTCTCGGCCAACTGGGCTGGCAGTTCCATGTGAGGACTGAGGAGGTGGTGTTGTTCAGGCCCCCGCAATACTGGGGCTGTGAGTTACCTGGGTAACCCCCTCCCAGAAGTGCTCAGCAGACTATGGGGTGCCCGAATGAATCAGACTAGCAGCCTCATCCCCTGTGCTCTCTCTCAGATCATCCATGTGTCAATGGTTTTACGATCCGCTTACAAAGAGACTTACAAAGAGAGTCAGATAATTTTAGCAAATCCACAAAGACATTTTCTCTTTCTGGCCTGAGCATTACGAGTTTGAAAGCAAACATCAAGGTCCCTTTCTCTGCCCCGTAGTTCAGTCCTCGTGAATTATAAACATTTGGACTTTAGCACTCAGGACTGAGCAGTGCAGTGCTTGTGGATGCACTGAATGGAAGATTAAAAAGGTTGGTGGCTTTCCCTGGCCACTTCATTTGAGATCTTAAGTAATAATTAACTGTTCTGGGACAAAAACCGAAGAGTAAACTAATGGAAGTGTTTTTGACTGTGCAGAGTCGGGAGTAGAAGTTCTTTCGCAGTTGTCACAACTCACCGGCACACTCTTTACTGCACCCAGTGGGGTAGCGACTGGCTCTTACCAACACAGTAAGTGTTTCTGTGGGTTGGCCACCAACTCCAGGGTGGCCAGAAGGCAAAAAGCACACCTGGTAATATTGCTTCTGACTGAGATGGATGATGTTGGTCCTCTGAGGAACGCCAGACTTTCCTCGGTCATAATTTCTCATCCCTCAGTCACTTGCTAAGCACTCCACTTAGGAGAGGATTGTTTGTTGCAAATATCAGCTTCAATTCACCAGTTGCACAGAGTCAAGAGTTCATCAGAGAGGCATAGGAGCTGGTCTAGAGAACCCAAAGTTACGAAGACTCATTTTACGTAGCAATGATGTACAACCTGATGACATCAGGCAGAAACACATACTGTCGCTATGAAGAGATGGTGAAGCAACTTGCTCAGGGTCCTTTTTTTGTAGGAAGAACAATCAAAAGTGAGCCACCCTAAAAAAGCCAATTTTAGGATCAAAAGGTAGCATTGCCTTACAGGCCTGAGAATCAACCTGCTTGATGAGTATAACACAGTGCTGCTTGTTACTCATTTCCCCAAGCCTCCTTTCAAATGAGATTTGGAGTAATATAGAGAAACTATATGAAGTTCTTTTTTGGGGGGAGGGGCAAACCCAGCAGCGATCAGGGCTTCCTTCTTGCTCTGCACTCAGGAATTACTCCTAGTGGTGCTCAGGGAAACTCCTTGTGGGATTCAGGAGATTAAATCAGGTTTGGTCACATGCAAGGCAAGTGTCCTACCCACTCTAATATCGTTCCAGCCCCAAAGTGTTTCTTTAATTCCAAAAGCCCATTCCAGACTGGGCAAAGCTGGGCTGACTGGAGAATGGGTAAGGGAGAGAAATCTGGAAGGATCCATGAAGCTACACAGAGCTAATAGTTTTGAAGCTGAAGTCGCTTATTCAGCTTAACAGATGAAGAACATAAGCCACAGAGAGCAGAGCCAGACCCAGACATTGCTATCTGCAAAACGGGAGCTGTTTCCTCTCTCCTCTCTGCCTCCAGTTCTCTTGTTCACGTCCCCTCTCCCCTGTCTTCTCCTTCCTGAAGCAAACATTTATTTAGATATTTACATCCTTAGCCGCAAAAGTGTGTGGCAATGGGAGTGGGAGAAGGAATAAGTGAGGGCCAAATGAGGCAGCTTATCCAGGCAGGACAGAAAATAAACTTTAAGGTGCATCATCCAGTAATTGATTTTTTAAGGAAATAAGCTTAAGTCCCCATGATGTCCGTGGGCCCCCATGAGTGGCTAATGTGAGGCAGAAAGGAGAGAGGTGGTTACTTTCTCCCAAAATGTCTCTGTCCTCCTGGGATCGGCTGGAAGGGTGAGGACTGATAAAGTCTGTGATGAGCCCCTACATGGCACGAACCTCAAGTCCCACCAGCCCTATGAGGTGGCCATCAAGTCACACCTGATGTCTGCTTGTTCTTCTCAGAATGGGATTTGATTCCTACCACTGATCTTTCGGGGAGCTGCAGACTCAGGCTGGAGCAAGGAATAGTTCTTTGCAGGAAAGGAAAGTCAGTCCTCGGCCTTACCCAGGGTTTCCAGGTCCTTGTCTTTTCTCACAGAAAGGAATTTCAGGAGTAGACAGCAGTGAAGTAAAAACAGATGTTATTTGGAGGTTTTTAGGAACGAGGGAGAGAAAGGGAGACACGTTCAAGGGAGAACACAGGCTTTTCCAGAGACAGAGAGAGCCCCAGTACACATCTCAAGAGGGGAGATGCCGGTGATACATGTGCTTGGCACCATATGTGCTCAGCCACGTGGGCACAAGCAGCATATGAGCTCGGGTGGCATATACACGTGCTTCCTTTGTTGAAGGTGAGTTTTACAGGGATTTTCCAATCTGTCCTCAGTCATAATTTCTCATTCCTCAGTCATTTGCTAAGCACACCACTTCGGAGAGGATTGTTTGTTCCAAGTATCTGCTTCAAATCACCATTCACACAGAGTAAAGAGTTTATCAGAGTGGTGTAGGAGCTGATCTAGAGAACCCAAAGGTACGAAGATTCATTTTAGGTAGCAATGATGTACAATCAGATGACGTCACGCAGAAACACATATTGTCGCTGTGAAGAGATGGTGAAGCAGCTAGGTAAAGGTCTGTTGTTAGGTTGGTTGCCAAGAGAGTAGAGTTGGGAGTGGTCAACAGTCTTACAAATTCCTTTCCTTGGCCTTTGTTCCTGCCGGATCTTCTCTTGGAGGGAGGATCCAGCCTTTTGTGGGTCACTTGGTACCCAGGTGAGGATCCTATCAGGGCCTTAATTCTGTGCTCACCAGGTGGGTCCTGATGGTCTTAGAACTAGATGTTTTTACCACTCCCTACTTTTTCCACTGCCATGGGGCCTTTCCCTGTCTTACTGCCTACCTCATTCATAAGAGTCTGGTAGATATTGGTGGAGAGAACTAACAACACGAGTATTGACAGAAATAAGAAAGACAGAAGTTTGACAACTACAGGGTCGATTGATGGCACATCAGGCAGAATGGGGTTTCCTTCTATTTTAACTGTCTGGAGCTTAAGGAGAAAGCAGTAGACTATTCTTTGAACGACAACAGTGCTTCCTGGGCACAAACCTATGCCTCTTTAAACAATGTTTTCAGACCTATGATGCCGACCTTTTCCTGTCAAGAAGATGAGACCTTTGAAAGGTTCCTAGTCTCTTTTCTGAATTTCTCCTTTCCGCTGGGATAGCAGGTGAAGGGTATTCTCTTTACCCCACCTCTCTCTTCATGAGACCAGATAGAAACGTGCTCAAGCTCCTGTGGTACTTGACCCAAGAGGTAAAATTCTTTGCGCAGGGACCCCAATAGAAGGTTCAAATAACCCAGCTACAGAACTGAGCTTACCTGGGGGTGGAGGAAATAGGAGGGACCTGGGACATGGTGGGTGGGAAGCCGGAACCTCTACTGGTGAATGTGGTGTTGGAACAATGTGCACAGGAAACTCTGACTAACTATGGTAAGTCACAGCACTTCAAAAAAAATGGTGAAAAAAATTAAGGAAGAAAAAATAAGATTCAAACACTGTCAGTTCTCAGTGATTGGCTGTGGCAGCCGCGGGAGAGGCCGCCCCCCTGCATCTACTTCAGCGAGGCACCGCTGCAGGCCTGGTGCCACCTCACGGACCACCTGGACGACGCCCTGAGGGCCGCGAGGAAGCAGCTGGCACCTCAGTTCCGGGAGCTGCGGGGCGAGCGTCAGTGGCAGGATCCTGGGTGAGAGGTGATGGGGTCCTGGGGCAAGCGGAGGAGGAGGAGGAGGAGGAGGAGGAGGAGGAGGAGGAGGAGGAGGAGGAGGAGGAGGAGGAGGAGGAGGAGGAGGAGGAGGAGGAGGAGGAGGAGGAGGAGGAGGAAAAGAGGGAGGGGGAGGGGGAGGGGAAAGGGGCGGGAAGGAAGGGGAGAGGGAGGGGAAAGGGGCGGGAAGGGAAGGGGAGAGGGAGGAGGAAGAGGGGAGGAAAAGGAGGGGGAGGAGAAGGGGAGGAGGGGAAGGGGAGTAGGAGGGGAGAAGGAGGAGGATGGGAGAAGGAGGGGGAGGAGGAGGAAGGGGAGAGGAGAGGGAGGAGAGGGAGGGGGAGAGAGGGAGAAGGGGGAGGAGAGCGGGGAGAGGGAGCAGGGAGAGGGGGAGAGGGGAGGAAGAGGACTAAAGAAGGAGGAGAAGGAGGGAAAGAGAAGGTGAGGAAGGGGAGGGGAGTAGGAGGGGGAAGAGGAGGAGGGGAGGAGGGAGAGGGAGGGGGAGGGGAGGAGAGGACTAAAGGAGGAGGAGGAGGAAGAGGGGGAGTAGAAGGGGAAGAGGAGGAGGAGGAGGGGGAGGAAGGGAAGAGGAGGAGGGGGAGGAGGAGGAGGGAGGGGGAGTGGAGGAGGAGGACTAAAAGAGGAGGAGGAGAAGGGGGAGGGGAGGAGGGAGGGAGAGGAGAAGGGGAGGAGTGGTGGGGCAATAGGAGGGGGAAGAGGAGGAGGAAGAGGAGGATGAGGGGGAGGAGGAGGGGAGGAGGGGGAGGAGGAGGGGAGGAGGGGGAGGAGGAGGACTAAAGGAGGAGGAGAGGGAAGAGGAGGAGGGGGAGGAGAATGAGGAGGGGAAAGAGGGAGAGGGGTGAAGGAGGAGGAGGAAAGGAGGAGAAGGAGGGAGGAGGGGGTGAGGAGGAGGGAGGAGGAGGGGGAAGAGGGGGAGGGGGAGAGAGAGGAGGAAGAGGGGGGAGAGGAGGAACTTGAGGGAACTTGAGTGCCTCACATGCTGAGGACCTGGGTTCGATCCCCAGCACCATGCATCACTGCCTGTGACCCAACCACAAACCCGTAAATTAACAACATGGCACTGGTCAGAGTTGACCTTAAGCAGCTGAGTGAAACAGTGCTTCCATCCTTTTTTTTTTTTTTCTCACCTCCTTCCAAGTGTCCTGACTGCTGCTCTGAGCTAAGTACCCAGCGTGGAGCTCGACATAGAACTCGCACCTCAGATGTGTGCGCAGAGGGTGGGGAGTTCAATCCCCTTTCGCTCCCCTCTCAGAAAAACGAAAGCAAGGTGCATGTTCCTATTTCACTGCTTTCTTAGTTATGCAGGAAGTTCTCTGCTCGTTGAAATTCTCTGAAAACGCTTGTCAGAGAGTCGGCCTCTTACTGGGGTTTGTTCCCAAATCAGTACTCTTTACTTAAATGGTTCTACCCAGTACTTGAATGTTGTCCTATTTATTTTCTTTGGGGGGCTTGAGGCCACACCTGGAGGAGCTCAGGAGTGATCCCTGGATATGTGGTGCTGGGGATCCAACGGGGGTCAATTTGGTAAGGCACATGCAAGCCCCTCACCTCCTGTATGACCACTGTGGCCTTTGGGGATTTTTTTTATGCACTAAATACAACTGTGAGGACAGAGGTGTTTTCTCTTCAGTCCCACCATACATAAATTAACCACGCAGCCCATGGCTGTGTACCCACAGGACAGTTTGTGTTTGATGCCATGAGTCTGGGCGCCATTCTGAGGAACCAGGAGACTGCGCAGGTCCTGGCAGAGGGATTGACAGAGCTTTCAAGAGAAAATCCTGTAAGTATTTCTTTGAAGAAAGCAAATGATAGCAATCAAAGTACTTAAATATTTCCTTAATGCACACGCATTTGGTTTTGTTGGTTTTACTTTACCATTTCGTCTCACAACCCCTCAGAGAAGTGACATCAGTCTGTGAAAGCAGCCCCACAGAGATTCAGGGCCCTCTATGTCATAACAGTATCCACAACTCAACAGATGGGAAAATCTTTGGGGATATCAAAAAGCTTATTATAATCTGCCTTGTTTGCTGCCTTGAGATGAACCCAGAGCCTTTCTTTAAAACACGTTAGTGGAATTAGACATCACATAAACATTTTTTAACAGGAAAAGCCGTGAATAGTCTGGCTAAAAGACCAAGAAAGCATCAAGCAAGATTTAAAAACATGATGGGTCCAGAATGCTAGATCAGAGAGGGAGAGACACAAAGACTCCAGAAGGTCAGAAAGAAGCAAATCAGTTTGGATGGGACCAGTGGAGGGAAGCGTGAAGGTGCCTTTCATAGGAAACCAGTCTCGGCTACCTCCCCAGATAAGTCGGTTCACATACCACAGAAGGCAGCGAGGCTCTACGACAGAGACAAGCAGCTCTGGGCTCTGGGGCGAGAGCACTGGGGGTCCCACTGTTCCCCTTTTCTTTCTTCTCTTTTGTTTTCTTTTTCCCTCCCTCCCTCCCTCCCTCCCTTCCTCCCTCCCTTCCTTCCCCTTCCTTCCTTCCTTCCTTCCTTCCTTCCTTCCTTCCTTCCTTCCTTCCTTCCTTCCTTCCTTCCTCCCTCCCTCCCTCCCTCCCTTCCTTCCTTTCTCTCTCTCTTTCTTTCTCTCTCTCTTTCTTTTTCTTTCTTTCCACACCTAGCAGTGCTCAGAACTTACTTCTGGGCTCTGCACTCAGGAATCATGCCTGGAGGGCTTGGAAGACCATATGGAATGCAGGGGGCCAACTAACCCCAGGTGGCTGTGCAAGGTGAACGCCCTACCTGTTGTACTGTGGCCCGCCAGAGTCATTCTGCTCTGTGGGTGGCTCTAGCATTGTCTTTGCACACCCTACTAGTCTAGTGTGTGCGCATGCGTGCGCGCTCTGTCCTCTGGCTTTCTGGGTGAGGACTGGATGCCTTCCAGGTTCCCCAGCTGTTGTGGAGAGGAGTCTGGAGGGGAGTGAGCCAGGGTGTTTCGGTAACCTCCAGCACTCTCCCAGCCCTCGGGCTGTCCAGGGAGAAAGCCCAGGTCAGCTTTGCCGATGAGACCACAGCAATGGGTGCAGGGGTGACCTAGCAGTCCTGAAAGTGGGGGAGGTACTATCTTTCCCAATGCCAAAGAATTTCTAAGGTCTGGGAGATGGCTCAAGAGCAAATAATTTGCATAGAAGAGGTTCAGTTTGATCCCAAGCACAAGAACAGCATTTGATCCCCTGAGCACTGCCTGGAGAGATCACTGAGCACTGGTCCAAGAGCAGCCCTAAACACTGTGGCCCCCAAATAAAAACAAATAAAACAGCTACTCAAAGTGTTTGGTTTTCATTGTACTTTCTGCCACCTGATTATTTTTCTTTTAGTGCATGTGTGTGGGGGGGGGATGGGGGGATTCCAAATAGTGTTCAGAAGGTATGTGGGCCTCTTCCAATGATTCTCAGCCCAGAAAGTTTGGGGTCCCACCAGGGATTACCTTGATTACCTTTGATGCTCAGAACTGTCCCCAGAGATGCTCGGGGAACAGGAGTTGAACTAGAGTCACCTGCATGCAGGTCACGCACGGTAACTCCTGTTCTACCTCTCTGGCCCTAGTTATATCAAAGCAATTTGGATGATGGTGCCCAAACCTCTAATCTGAGAGGGATCCACAGACACCTTTGAGTACTTCATAGGTGTTAAATGAGACAAGATTCCCTCCCTAAAGACTCCGGCATAGTGACAAGACTGTGACATTAAAATGAGAATCCAGAATCAAAGAGAGAGTACAGAGGTTAAAGCACTTACCCTGGTGTGGCTGACCAAGGTTCAATCCCTGCCACAGCCACACTGCATGATGCCCTGAGCACTGCTCAAAGCAACCCCTGAACACAGACCCGAGAGTAACCCCAATACTGCCAATTGCGGCCCAAAGTAATCCCACACCCTCCAAAAGAGATGAGGACCAAGATGAATTAGAATGTGCAACTTCCTGACTAATTGGATAGTATTTTGGATAGTATTGTTTTCTTTTCTGGACTTGGAAATTAATTAGTTAGAAAACTAAATGAAAAATTGAAAACGTAGAGACTCACAAATAAATCTCAGAAGAGAAAGAGAGCAACATGCCACAGTGATGCTTCCAGACCCCAGACCAGGTTATCTCATATAGGGCACCCCAGAGTGGGATGGGTGAGTCCCTCTGACTCACCCAACAGAGCCCCAGAAGCTGTAAACCTCTAGAACCCAATCACCGCCATGCTTATGGCCAATCTCTAGGTTTGGGGTGAGCCTCATTCATAAGTATGAATCTGCTGAAAAACTCAGGTATGTGGGTTTTGTGACTGAAATCTCTAGACTCTCATGGAATCAGGAATGGGTGACTTCCTCCCAACTCCCTGTGTTTCCCAGAGCTTGGCGAGAACAAACTGCCTCTGGTGCCATATAAGCTCATTAATGGCCATGATCCAGAGACTCACAAATAAATCTTGGAAGGGAAAGAGAGCAACATACTGCAGAGATGCCTCTGTACCTCAAAGTCATCATGTAGATAAAAATTTAACTCTAGCTGTATCACCCTATTTAGAATTCCTGGAGCACATGGCTGTAAATGCTTTATGCCGCTGATGTACCAAGAGTAGCACACCACATTTGATGGGGTGTAAGGTAGAAGGCTATATATATATATATATATATATATATATATATATATATCAACCTGTAACAACATGTTAGTAATCTCTTATCCAAGACTTAATGGCTCCAGGGTGAGATACAACAATCTTCAAACACTTTCATCTAAGGAAACATTTTTGGATCATTATTAGTGGATTATTTATTATAAGCAATTCAAAATAACTTATTTAGTATGTGCTTTTGGAGCAGGTTTGTGTGGTAGTGGGAAAATTCAAAATAATGGCTGTGGAACGGTGGAATGGTGTAGGGATTGGTGTTGGAATATTAAATGTAATAAATTATTGTGAACAACTTTAAAACAATTAAAAACTAGGTTAGGAGCTGGAGTGATAGCACAGTATATGGTAGGGTGTTTGCGTTGCACGTGGCCAACCCTGGCACCCCGGGTGGTCTCCCAGCCTTGCCAGGAGTGATTCCTGAGTACAGTGCCAGGGTAAGTTCTGAGCGCTGCTGAGAATGACCAAAACAAGCAAAAATCTAGGTTAAAAGCATGTTTTCTTTCTACTGAACTTTTGCTGCCTTGTGTTTCAGAAGAATGTTTTAACTAAGTGTTCCTATTTGGGTTGGGGGTGGGGGTGTGTCGGGATTTTGCAGGACCAACCTCTGGAATTTTTATCATGTTTTCTGCTGAAGAAATGTAATAAAGAGAGCAAAGGTTCTGAAGAAAATATTATTCTGACCAAATGTGACCCCAAGACAGCACTCGGTGTATTTGTGGAGGTGAGTTATTGTGCTTTGCTTTCCTGCAGAGAATTCAAATTTCAGATATAGTCATGAGAATCCTACCTGGAATGAATTGAAGATTTTATCCCTTCGTCTAAGGTCTTCAGTTCCATGGTTCAGTAAAAAAAAAAAAAAAAAGAGGTTTTGGAGTTTCACGCTGTGAGAAATATTAAAACCTCTCAGAGCAGGAGGGGCCCCATGGTGACTAGAGGAACAGTATTTAGGGCACGGGAATGAGCTGTATATTAGCATTTTGTCCTGAAATGAAATCAGTGGAGAACTGGAGAGGCAGTGCAGGGGCTGTCGCTTGCCTTGCATCCTGCCAACCCCCAGTTCCACTCTCTGGCTCCACATATGTCTCCCGAGCATCCAGGGCTCATTCTTAAGCCAAGAGCCAATAATTGCCCTAAACGCCATCACATGTGACCCCCAAGCCCCTCCCCACAGAAGGCTAATTCAGTGGAAAGAAAGAGAAAAAGAGGGGTGCAGAAAGATAACAGAAAGAGAAAGGAGAGGGAAAAAGGAAGAAGAAAAAGGACATAGCAATTTTCTTTTTTTTCCAACTAAAAATGTTTTTTTTAATAATTTTGTTTTAAATCACCAATAATTAGAGTTACAAATTTGTTCATTAATATATTTTAGGCATGTGATATTTTTGTTGTTGTTGTTATATTTATTTATTGAATCACTGTGGGAAAAGTTACAAAGCTTTCAGGTTTAAGTCTCGGTCATACAATGATCAAACACCTTTCCCTTCACCACTACATATTTTTCACCAACAAGAACCCCAATATACCCCCCTCCCACCCCTCCCAATGCCTGTGAGGCAGATGATTTCTACTTAACTCTCTCTACTTTGATTACATTCATTATTTCGACAAAAGATGCACCATTATTGTTTAGAGTTTCCACCCAACAATCAGAACTGCTGAAAAGGCATTGTGAAATAATTTGTTTTCTACAGCTGGTTATGAGAACCATATGGTGTCCCGCAGCCACTATCGCGGTCGTGTGATTTTGGATTTGTGATATTTTACTAATTAAGTCTGGAGGGATTTCTGCCAAGAGCCAGATAATTACGAGATTGGTTTCTGTGCCTCTGGAGCCATGGCCGTGCCGAAGAGCCACTCGTGGGGGGCAACTCGTGATCTCGGTAGGGCGTGAAGGACGAGCTGGTACTGCCCCCCCTTCCCATGAGGCTGCAGGTGCCCTGTCACCGCCAGCTCATACCTGGCTTTCCAATAAGCTCTGAGGTGGGGCCACCTTGCTGCTGGGGGGAGGGGGCTGAGGAGGTGGAAGGGAGAGACACGCTTTCCCTCCCGGGGAGGCATGGCACCGTAGTTTAACGCATAGTCCATTCACTTTTCTGCCGCAAGTTGTCAGGCTCTGCATTAAGTCCTTGTGCCTCTGGAGCCATGGCCGTGCCGCTCGTGGGGGGCAATTAGACATGCAATATTTCAATACCAGTCCTTTCACCAATGTCCCCAGTTTCCCTCCTTGTCCCCCAGCCTGCTTCTGTGGCAGGCACTTTGCCCCTCCATCCTTAGCCTAGTGAACCCTTTCCTAACTTATCCCTCCTATCCCTGCCCCAGTACCAAGCATCCTACCCAAGTCCAGTTCTCTTGCTTCCTTTCTATTGCCTTTGGGGCTTTGTTAATCTCTTACAAATTTTCTTTAGATCTGACATATAAGAGACACCATTCTAAAACAGCAATTTTCTAAAACATGTAAAAAAATAATAACTCAGAGGTATAACCTGACCAGGCAGAAGGAGTTTGGGTTCTTTGGAGAAATGAAACAAATAGACTGTGCCTTTACAGGAAAGAGATGTGTCTTAAGGACTTGCCTCATGCAGTTGTGGAGGCTGATGGGGCCAAAGAGCTGGTTGGGATGACTCAGCATCCTGGAGATCTGGGAGACAGTGTACAGGGCTCACCTCAGGGTTGACTAGTTCAAAACCAAAGACAAGAGAAAGCCAAATGTTCAGTCTGAGGTCTGACAAGCGAGAGGGGTTCTCTCTTACCTACCGGCGGGGAGTGCAGCCTTTTTTGTCCTATTCCGATCTTTAGCTGATTAGATGAGGTTCATCTACCTGGAGGAGTTGCAGTCTGCCTTACTCCATCTACCAGTTTACATGCTAATCTGACCCTCAAACCCACACAGGCACACCTAGAATAATGCTTGACCCGCTCTCTGGCCAGTCCATGGGCCCAGGCAAGTTGACATTTTATTTTATTTTACTTTACTTTATTTTATTTTTTTGCTTTTTGGGTCACACCCGGTGATGCACAGGGGTTACTCCTGGCTCTGTGCTCAGGAATTACCCCTGGTGGTGCTCAGGGGACCATATAGGATGCTGGGAATCGAACCCGGGTCAGCCACGTGCAAGGCAAATGCCCTACCTACTGTGCTATTGCTCCAGCCCCAGCAAGTTGACATTTTAAATGAGCCTCCACTGTCTGCGATTCAGAGGTGAAATCCCCAAGTTCTCAGCTCATTTCCTTTTCATACAGACAACTAGTCATGTGTGTGGCACTGTGCCAGTCCCTGGATTAGATGAAAAATAAGACACACTGGGGCTGGAGCAATGGCACAGCAGGGAGGGTCTTTGCCTTGCACGTGGCTGACCTGGGTTCGATTCCCAGCATCCCATAGGGTCCCGCAAGCACTGCCAGGAGTAATTTCTGAGTGCAGAGCCAGGAATAACCCTGTGCGTTGCTGGGTGTGACCCAAAAAGCAAAATAAATAAATAATAAGACACAACTTCAGCCTTTGAGGGGGGTGACACCTACACATAAACAAATGACACAACATGATGGAGGCCCTGGAGAGGACAAGACCCATAGTAGGTGTTCCATCCATACCAACTTTCCCTTTGAAGACACCTTCTGCCTTTTATGGCAGCCAGAATCTCTAAGATTCTAGGGTGGTATTTTCCCCAAATGGTGGATATCATCTCCATTTATCTTTCAGCCTTTGAAAACAAACTGAAGAATATTATCCAGATTCCAGTACTCCTTATTCTCTACTTAGTCAGCATGGAATCTCATTCCTTAGTTACAGAGTCTTCCAAAGTCCTCCAAGGTCTGCGTCACTTCTGACCTCTCGGAAACTTCATTAGATGTCTACCCACCTGAGTTCTTAAGGGTGAAGCTGTCTCCCAACTCCGCTGTACAGACCCCAGAGCATCTCTTGGGAGCCAGAACACAAAGAATGCAATAAGAACAAAATCATAGGTATTTCGCCCTCTGAAGTATAATTTTACACTTGAAAGACTGTACTATTGGGGGAAAAAAAACTCAAATCTTTGACACCTAAAAGAATGATGACTCAGAGAATTTCCTCTGAAAACCATGTTCATTTTTTCTTCTGCCAAATAAAGTCCACATGGAATGAAGTCAGCCTGACCTGTTCAGTAGCTAAATCTCCATACTGATGTAATGCTGACAATTAGGACTTAAAATGTCCTCATTCTTGGAGATCAAATCCACTTGTTTTACATCGTCAGCCTGTAGTTAAATTACAGAATTATGGAATGCCTTAAATGCCTAGGAATTTCATCGCTATTTTCCTTTTAGATATAATTGGAAAATATATGTGTTAGATTCTGATTTGGTTTCCTACTATTTAACACTTCAGAATAGGAACATAAGCCTTCACAAGAAAGGCGAAGACACCCAGGGAGAAAAGGAAATCACGGCTGGAACATAGATCCTATATTAGGAAAAATTAGAGAAGTTCATTAATGCTTGGTTGAAAATAAAGCATGCTTCAGAGCCAAATCCCCTCTACTCCTAAAGAAGGGAACTGTCCAGAACTTAGTTTCTATGCCACAGTGGAGTTCCTAGGAAGAGGAAGAGTTTTATTTTTTTTCCTTAAATTTTTGGTTTGGGGATCACCTCTGGGTACACTCAGGGCTTACTCCTGGCTTTGTGCTCAGGGTTCACTCTTGGTGGTACTTGGGCATATGCGGTACCAGGATCTAGCTAGGGCCAGTTACATGCAAGGCAAGCACCTTCACTATCTCTCCAAGATTTATGTTTAGTTTAATGGAAAGAGAAGCATGGGATTGGCCAACTGCTTAATTATTGTGTGTAGAGATCTCTGTGGCTGAGACACAGTTTTTAAGTTTCCTGTGGGCATGGAGAGTCATAGTCGGCCTCCCAATAACTGTCTGCACTTAATTCTCAGGAAAGAAATGGCAGAAAAGATCATCCTCAAGGCACAAGTCTCAGCAAAAGTGATCAAAATTTTGAGGAGCTGGTTAAACTGGTAAGTCAGTTATTACTTAAAGACTTACTATCTGTTTTGCTCCTGTCCATACACTTTGTTTTGGATAGCTTTTCTTATTCCTTGAAGCTTGCCCTTAAGTGGAAAAACAAACCACCATACTATATTGTTGAGGAGAGTTTAGTTGAGAGATTCTTTTTAAAATTGTTATTAGTGAAACACCGTGAGATACAGTTGTAGACTTACAGATTTTTGTACTTGGGTTTCAATTATACAATGATAGAGTACCCATCCATCCACCAGTACCCATTTTCCACCACCACTGATCCCAGTATCCCTCCCCCCCCCCACCTCCCCGCCATCCCACCCTTCCTCTGTGGCAGAACATTCCCTTTTGTTCTAGTTGAGAGATTTTTTAATTTTGAGAGTGGTGCTCAGGGCTTACTCCTGGCTCTGTGCTCAGGAATCACCCTGGCAGTGTTCTGGGAGCCATATCTGTTCCCAGGGATTGCACCAGGATCGGCCATGTACAAGGCAAGCACCTTAATCCCTGTACTGTCTTTTCAACCTGAGATTTGTATGTATTTATCTATTTGGAGATTTTGATTTTTGAATGAGGTCCTGGACTAAAGTGAAGCCGAACCAAGAGACTGGAGGAATTATGTCCTGGAGAGGTAAAAGCTGCTCTTTGCTGCTTGGGCATTTCCCCAGAACGTTTCTGAAGAAATGGCACAGGATTTCACCATTTCCCATGAATCTTTTCGTCCATAGTCTGATTTTAATCAGTGACTGTGAGGGCTGTGCATGGAGCGATGACGATGAAAGCATCTTATCCAAACACTTGGTTTTATTACCTTGTGGGTTTTAAGACAACAATGAAAGATTTGACAGCGTTATGTCAAAATTTTTAGTATTTATATATAATATATATAAAACATTATATGGGTTGTGAGGTAGCCATCAACTTAGCATCTGAGATGCAGATATATTTTTTAAATTATTTTTTTTATTATTTTTACATTTTCCTGTGCCAGGACTTCACATAGATCTACTGTTGTACACAGATTATTCACATAAATCTACATTGTTGGCCACAGATTATTTTAATTTTAATGCTAAGTGTAAATAGATTTTGTGTATAGACCATATTTGAAAGATAACATTTCAGGTCTTAGTGGCAAGCATCCGCCTTTCATGCTTGTGTCCAGGTTTTGATTCCCGGGCACCAAGAAAACAAACCCACAAAAATCTCAACGAGCATCCATCCACATTCCTGACTTGGTGAGGCCATGTGCTGGTGGCAGTGGGCTTTCCCTGGCAGACCCTGAGGTTCCAAGGGCTCTTCTGCAGGAGAGGAAGCTTCAGAGGGACTCAGCAGTCAAGCGAACGAGAGTGGCCCAAGAACTCCTGGAGAGCGAGAGGAAGTACGTGCAGACGCTGGAGGTGGTGAGAGCTGTGTATGTGGCGCCCCTGCGAGCAGCACTGTCGTCCAACAGAGCCATCCTGAGCGCTGCCAACATCCAGATCATCTTCTCTGACATCCTGCGGATCTTAAGTCTCAACAGGTGCGCCGGCCAAGGATGAGGTGGAAGTGGTCCAGCTTTCGGAGGAGGAAGCCGCTGGTGCCTCTCTGTCCAGAGGCTGTTCAGAGACTCAGTCACTGCTGTCCACGCTGTATACCCTGGTCACATCATGCCGAGAGTGTTCTTACCCCTGATGATTCTCAGTTCAAAATCCAGGCCCTACCTTAAGACAGGCGGTCAGGGGATTCTGTGTCCTCGGGCTCATGCAGAGGAACAAAGAGAAGGAACCATATGTGAAAACTTAAAACAAAAACCAAAAAACTTGTGGCCTCCCAAACACTGGCCCAAGGAATCACTTCTGCTGTTACTTGTCCAGTCGGGCTGAATGGTCCAATGCGGTGATGGACTGACTGTGCTCACACCCTGTGATTCGGGGGAACCAGGGCTGTACCGCAGGGCGGGATTGGGCTGCTATGCATGCATCTGGGTTCAAACTCAGGTTTTTACACGTGCAAGACCGTGTCCCTGGATTTCTTTGGTGTGTTTTATTTTGTTGTTGCTTGTTAGCTTGGGGTTCTGTGCTGAGGTGTCTGTCACTCGTATCTAAGGAATGTGCTCGTTCTTTGAGTATCTCCCTGGCCCTGTGGCATCATCTGTCTTCTTTGTAAAATTCCATTTGAGGCACCTTCATGGTACATTCATAATAGGATTTGTGCAAACAATGCTCCAACTCCACACCCTCCACTACTGTCTCAGCATCTTCTCCCCTCCACCCCCTGGCCTTGGGGAAGCTCAGTTTTGCAGACTAGTTTCTCATGTTCTCTTAGCTGAGCAGGGGGAAAGGAACTGAGGGACTTAATAGGATCTTTAGGCAACGGCTTAGGGTTTGCTAAGTTTTTCCCCACTTGTGGCCCCTCCTTTTTTTTTTTTTTGATTTTTTGGGTCACACTGGCAATGCTCAGGAGTAACTCCTGGCTCTGCACTCAGGAATTACTCCTGGTGGTGCTTGGGGGACCATATGGGATACCCGTGATCGAACCCAGGTCAGCCTTGCAGCCCATTTTGCCCAAGAAATTTTTATGCAACTCTGGGTATATAAAATAAGAATACAAACCAAACATTTGCTATAATAAACCCAATATTTATTTTAAAGCAAAGTTTTCTTTACCCCCCACCCACTATTCCCTACCCCCCTTCAGTTACATGACCCTATAGCAGGTTGTGATACACAGTTTAAGAAGTTAGGGTTTATGGGGCTGGAGCAATAGTACAGTGGGTAGGGCATTTGCCTTGCACGTGGCCAACTCGGGTTCGATCCCCAGCATCCCATATGGTCCCCCAAGCACTGCCAGGAGTAATTCCTGTGTGCAGAGCTAGGAGTAACCTCTGAGCATTGCTGGGTGTGACCCAAAAAGCAAAAAAGAAGTTAGGGCTTAGGGCCAGAGAGATAGTACATGAGGTAGTGGTCTTGCCTTACATGTGGCCAACCTGGATTTGATCCCCGGCACTCCATATGCTTCCCTGAGCACTCCCAGGAGTAATTCCTAAGTGCAGAGCCAGGGGTAACACCTCAGAATTGCTGGGTGTGGCCCCAGATCAAAACAAAACAAAAAGTTCAGGTTTAAAGAACCCCAGGTGAAGGATCAACAGAATAAGTCTGTTCTAAGTATGTGACAGCTGACAGAGAAAAGTGACACTTTGCACTGGTGACACAGTAGAACAAACAGAGCTTGTGCTTCCTGCCACTTGGAGCAAGTCCCTAACCCTCCTCCCTAATCCTCTAACTCCTACAAAGTGAAGGGTGGAACTAGGCCTCTTTCTGTTTCCCTGGCCTTGCGGTGGGGAATTGACTCTGGAGGAAATGACCCCGTGAGCATTAGTGTACTCAGCTGTGGGTGTGAACAGAGGCCTCTCCCCTGATGACTGTGAGAACTGTGAGAAGCTTTTCTTTTCTTTTTTTTTCTTGCTTTTTGGGTCACACCCAGCGATGCACAGGAGTTACTCCTGGTTCATGCACTCAGGAATTACTCCTGGCGGTGCTTGAAGCTTTTGCTCGCTTAGCTGACTGTGTGGGAAAGCCTAGGCACTGCCGAACAGAGGCCACCTGGGGCCTCCAAGCGAGTGGGAATGTACCATATCAGCCTGCTGTCTCATTTCCGGCTTCTTTCCTGTCACATCTGCTAGCCCCTGTGGTCATGACACACAATTGACAAAGACCCTGAGGTAAAGGACTAGGCTGGCCTTTAGGATGAGCACTAATGACAATGCATCTATTTGCTTATTTATCTTTTATTTTCTTGGTTCTTTGGCCACACCCAACAGTGCTCAGGGCTTACTCCTGGTTCTTTGCTCAGGAGACTATATGTCTGGCTGGATTGAACCCAAGTCAGCCACATAAAAGACAAGTGCTCTTCCCTGTTGTAATATTATTCCTACCACACTTCTATTTTTCAAGTTTGTCAGTTCTCTTGGCTAGTAATTCAGTCATGTTTTTCTCTTACTGCAGGCAGTTCTTAGATAACCTCAGAGACAGACTACAGAACTGGGGCCCAGCTCACTGCCTGGGAGAAATTATCCTGAAGTTTGGGAGGCAGCTGAACATATATACCAATTTCTTCAACAATTACCCTGTTGTTCTGAAAACGATTGAGAAGGTAAGTGATCGACTAACCACCTAGGCATATTTTAGTCCTGCTTTCCGCCTGCTCAGCTAAGAGAACATGAGAAACTAGTTTGCAAAACCAAGCTTCCCCAGGGCCTGGGGGTAGAGGGGAGATTATGCTTGAGAGACAAGTCTCACAATTTGTTGTGAGACGTTACTGGTGCCCGCTCGAGCAAATTGATGAACAACGGGAGGACAGTGCTATACAGAGCTTGAGAGAAGTTTTGATGTGTAGTCCAGAGGGCTAGAATGAATAGGAGAGACCCCTTCCCTTCCCTTCCCTTCCCTCCCCTCCCCGCCCCTCCCCTCGCCTCCCCTCCCCTCCCCTCCCCTTCCCTTCTCTGCTCTTTGCAGATGGGAACCCTAGTTTTGTAAAATTTCTGTCACAAGCACAGTGCTTGACAGAGAGCAGGACCTAAGAGCCCGTTGTTGACTGAACTAGTTCTCATACAAAGGGGCCAGACTTTCATCTGCTTCGTCCCCCTTGGCTCAGCTACAGGAAACAGCTCAGTTAGGAAGATAAAGTGTGAACAAGGAATCCTCTCTGCCAACCTCGTCCTGGGTGACCTCGACAAGTCTGGCTCGCTGAGGGAGGAGAGGAGCTGGTCATCGCTGTTTCTTAGAACAAGGACGCCCAACCTGAGGAGTATGAAGGACTCTTTGCACTCCTCGAGGAATCCCTTAGGCCGTTTTCCCTGTGTGACTTGAGCCACAGCAGGAATGTTAAGCTTCCATTTGCACTGAGTGCTCATGTTGGGCTTTCTCTGAGGGTTTCCCAGCCCCCTTTTTATTTTCAGTGTGTATTGAGAGTAGAGCGGCAACATGGGGCATGCCCTGAACCGGTCGTCTCTGTCCTCAGTGTTGTCAACCTGTCTCCACAGAGATGGACCCTGCCCAAATAAAGCAACTTCCACACAATCGGGTTCTGCAGCAGTGCCCACTGCCTCAGTGGGGCAGGATGAGGTACTGCTCTGGGAGTCTGAGGGAGATCAGGAATCATCTAGAAACCACCAAGCCCCAGGGTTTCCCTCCAAGGTTTCAGAGAACTGACCTTAAGTATAAAAATTAGAGTTAAGTGCTCGCTTTGGCAGCACATATACTAAAATTGGAATGATAGAGAAGATTAGCATGGCTCTTGCGCAAGGATGACACGCAAATTCGTGAAGCATTCCATATTTTTAAATATAGATATAAAAAACAAACAAACAAAAAATTAGAGTTAAAGCCTCACATACAACCAGAAACAAATTAGTACCCAAGTGTGCCTAGTTATCTCTAGAGGTGTCTAGTCACGATATCTAGTCATGATATCTCTTTCAAAACATGGGGTATGCTTCGAGTACATTTTTCATTGACAGTGTAAATATTATCGACATCAATAAATTCTTGATTTTTAGAAGTTAGAATTATTGGCATCTTTCAGGGCATGTTCCTGCTGAGAAAAAAAATGAGGTATATTCATGGGTAATCTATTGGTGGTGAACAACTGCATGCTATTTTGTTTTATTGTGTTACACCTGGTGGTGGTCAGGGGCTTGTCCCAGCTCCATGCTCCGGATTGCTCCCAGCAGAGACCATGCAGTGAGGGGTGGCTGTAAGCACTCAGCCCTTGGAGCTGTCTCTCAGCAGTATGACAACATTTAAAAACAGATATTCAGTAGGGGTGGGGAAAATGAGGAAAGGGGCCATTTGCATGGTCGTAGATGAAACCAGACTTTTGGTGGTGATATTGTAGTGTAAACAGATATTGAGGGATAAGACTGTACACCTGAAATGTAAACAGGGATATAAACCAATGTTTTCTCCATTTAAAAAAAAAGGTATTAAGAACAGCTGAGCACCTCTATGTTATTGTTATGCAAAACATGATTAGTAACAGTATAACGGGTGAATAGTACTGCACTGTAGTGCTGTCCTCCCATTGTTCATCGATTTGCTCCAGCGGGCACCAGTAACGTCTCCATTGTGAGACTTGTTGTTACTATTTTTGGCATATCGAATATGCCATGGGGAGCTTGCCAGGTTCTGCCATGGAGGCGAGATACTCTCTGTAGCTTGCCGGACTCTCCAAGAGGGATGGAGGAATCAAACCCAGGTCGGTCTCATGCAAGGCAAATGCCCTTACACGCTGTGCTATAGCTCCAGCCTATAACAGGTGAGTACCATTAATAATTTTTTTGCTCTAAGGAAATAGTATTTACTGTCTTTGCTGATAAAACTCTTGTCTAGATGGATTAAATTGCAGGGGATTGTCTATGGTCTAACTAATACACTCTGCTTGAGCTGTTAGCCAGTGCCAGTGGCACTAACAATACTTTGATGAGATGTGGTGCTGCCCTTTTGCTTTGGGCGTATTGGAGACTGTCAGACACTATCTCGAGCAGGGTTTGTACAATAGAAGGCTCATCTTTCAGTGCAGAGAAATGACGCCCGCATTCCGTGCTTTCCTGAAGAGGCATGATAAGACCATTATTACTAAAATGCTAAGGTAGGTTCTGAAAAGTGCTTCCATTGGGCCACCCCCTGGGGTCAGGGAACTCTTGGCCTTTCTGAAAGAAAATCGGGTTCTTTCTCTGTGCATCAAACAGCCTGCCGGAGCTGCTTTTGTTCCCATCCCGGAGATTTGAAGAATATATTCATCTTCTCTACGCTCTGTGGCTTCATACTCCAGCAGAACACGCTGACCGCGGGGACTTGACCGCTGCAATTGACCAAATGAAAAACTATAAAGGTCATATTGATCAGGTGGGTCTCTGGGTCCTTTGAGGAAGCCAGGCTGTCTCTGTGGTTTGGACACCCTCGAGTTCCTTCATCTTTTGAGGCTATTCTTGACTTCAAACCAAGGATGGCTTTTAGTGTGATATCATTGTTGTCCGTGATTTTGTGCACAGAGGGCATTTGTTCCAAGACAATGGGAAAAGAATGTTTTCAGAGATCTGTACAATAATTTACTGCTGGGGTGTTTGAAGAACAGAGTATTTTTCCTCACTCTTTGAGGAAAATATATCAAATTTTTATTTCTGAAAGAAATCTACAGCAGCCTAATCAGCTTTCCCACTGTAGTAATCACAACTGCCATTACTCTGAAAGAATTTAGCACCTCTGTCCAACAGCGCCTCCACTGCCAGGGCCTCCTGCCTGTGAGTCTGGGCCCAAATATAAAAGAGCACATTATGCCCACATGATGCGATGCTGCTTGACCAGAGACTTGTCACTTGCTTCTGGGTTTCAAAGCACCAGGGACAGAAACCTGACTGTGTATCGTTAGTAAAAACATTGAGCACTGCATCCCTTGCCATAGAAGCTTTAAAGAGCTTTCATTTTATCTGTAAAACATCCACAATTTCCACTGACCTCAAGTGACTCTTTTTTTTTCTAGATGAAACTAATTGCCAGTATGAAGGATCAGCTGTCAGATATACGGAGGAGCATCTCGGGGTGCCCGGTACGTATTCTGATGTGCTTACTGCATCTCCTGCTCCTGAACGGGACCTCAAATCATTGCCAAGAGCAAACATGTAGACGTGGGTTCAGTGAATACTGGATGCAGGTTGTCTGTCAGATGTTGAATGACAATGCCTGTGGAGGCATGCGGGTTTGTTCCTGCCCCATAAACTTCACAGTTTTAGCTGCTTGCTTGCTGCTGTGTGATCAGGATCGCCTTTATGGAAGGGCAGTGTCCTCTTGGTTCCTAGCTCCCAGTACTTCTTTCTTTTTTTTTTCTTTAATTTTTTTGTTCTGTAAAGTACTTCACAATATTTGATTACATTTAATATTCAATCCCGCCACCATTACACCTTCCCACCACCATATTTCTGATGTTTCCATCCCGAACCCCAATCCCTGCCCCAAAGCAGAACTGAAGTAATATAATATTTCCCAGGGGCTGGAGTGATAGCACAGCAGGTCAGGTGTTTGCCTTGCAGGCGGCCTGGCCTGGGTTGATTCCCAGCATCCCCTATGGTCCCCCAAGCACAGCCAGGAGTAATTCCTGAGTGCATGAACCAGGAGCAAACCCTGTGCATCGCTTGGTGTAACCCAAAAAGCAAAAAAAAAAAAAGCTATAAAAAATACAATATTTCCCTCTGAGGTAAGTTGCCTCCTACTTTGAATCCCATCAAAATGTGGCACAGTACTCTTGGACTATGGGTAGGGTGTGTCCTGTGAAGTGTCATGCGGCCTTAAATGCGGCTGTACGGTCCAGGGAAAGGTTCACTCATGGGTGAGGTTTGGCCCAAGCGTGTGGAGAGCATGGTGGTAGTTGGCTACTGGGGCTGGGTCCCTTGGGGTGGGGGGGGCGGGAAGGCACAGGAACTCTCACCCACTCCCCTCTGGGGCACCCTGAGTGAAACAGCCTGGTGTGGAGTCTGGTGGCATGGTTATGGCGAGCATCATGTTGTTCCCTTCTGGGAGAGAAGGGCATGTGATCTGGATGGTGGCCGAAGATGAGATTATCTGGTGTCAGCCAGGGGTGGCTTATGGGCATGACTGCTGAGTCACTGGAGACAGGGTGTGTGGGGGGTATGTGGGCAGAGGATCTCCTTCCTGGTCCTGTTGAACCCAGAGTTCTCAGTCACAAAGTCCTGCATACTTGGGTTTTATGGAGGTTCACTCATGGGTGAAGCTTGGCCCAAGCATATGGAGAGCGGCCATGAACAGGGCGGTGGTTACTCCCAGTACTTCTTGTTGCAGCATTCTGTACGCTGAGAATATTGGGAACAAGTTTAGAAGCCCTCTCTTCACTGTTTCCCAGACACTAGCCATGGTCCCGTCCTACCTTGTTTCTTGCTGTCAGCCTGTCCCTCAGTTCAAACTCTCAGACCTCCTCACTGCTCTCCTCACATACCCACTACCCTTTGTCTATGCGCTTCTTCCTTGCTGGTGGCTGTCCTTTCCTATTTTACTGAATAAACTACTCTTTTGGCTTCTATTCATTTTTTATATTTATTTTTATTTTATTTGGGACTGGAGTGGGTCGGGCATTTGCCTTGCACTTGGCCAACCCAGGTTTGATTCCTCCACTTTGAGAGCCCAGCAAGCTACCAAGAGTATCCCGCCCGCACAGCAGAGCCTGGCAAGCTCCACATGACGTATTCGATATGCCAAACCCAGTAACAACAAGTCTCACAATGGAGACGTTAATGGTGCTTGCTTGAGCATATTGATGAACAATGGGAGGACAGTGCTAGACAGTACAGTGCTATTTCTTTTTATTTAAAAACACTGTAATGTACATAGCTGTTTGTTATACAGTCATTTCAGGTGTTTAGTGTTCCAACACCACCAGTGTGACCTTCCTTCCACCCATGTCCCCATTTTCCCTCCCATCCCCAACCTGCCTCCTTAGGCACGCAACAAGTTGACATTTATATTACCTATTCAAATAATTTTTTTTTGCTTTTTGGGTCACATCCAGCGATTCACAGGGGTTACACCTGGCTCTGCACTCAGGAGTTACTCCTGGCAGTGCTCAGGGGACCATATGGGATGCTGGGAATTGAACCCGGGTCGGCCGTGTGCAAGGCAAATGCCCTACCCACTGTGCTATTGCTCCAGCCCCTCAAATAAAATTTTAAGATATTTTGCCTTTTAAAAATTCTATTCAAGGGGCCAGAAACGTAACTAGGTAGTAGAACCAATATGTGTGAAGCTCTGAGTTCAGCCCCCACCACTCCTTCAAATAAAATAAACATTTCAGTTCAATCTTCACCTTTTTTTTTCCAAATTTCTCTAAAATGTCCAACTATGGGCAGCTCCTCTCGGGGTCCCTCAGCACCCTGAGTGTCCCTGTCACCTGGAAAGTCTTGATTTTCAGTTATGGATGGGGGAATTCGTGTCTTCCGGAGTTTGATGCATGGGATTAACGAATTCATAGACTGGAGATGTTAGCTGGGGAAAGGGTCAGCTGGGGAAAGTGAGCTGGAGTTGTTTTGTCGTAAGTTAGAGCTGCACATTTTGGTAGGATAAAAGAAAGGGAGGTCTAAGTTTTCTGAGAATGTAGCATTGTTTCTCATTTTATGTTCGGTTCCACAGACTCTATCTGAAGAAAACAGATATCTGATTAGGGTCCAAGATGTAGCCCAGCTTCACTGCTATCGTGATGAAGGATGCTTCTCTGTGAGGTAAACATCGCCGCCCCCCTCCCCCCCAACACACACACCCACCATTCCAGGTGGAACTGTGTCCTGCTCCTCAGGCTTCACTTCCATACAAAGCTGCAACTCAGATCTGGGGCTTCAGCTTCAGACAAGGCACACACTGCTTTTCACCTGACTTGCGTTCATGATGGCAGCGCTGGGTAAGATGGTGCATCGAATGGGAGGAAATGCTTGTTTCTGCCGAAATCACAGCAATCCAGAGCAGGAATTCTGAAGACTGCTTCCTGGCCTTGGTAGAGGAGATACAGGTGTCCTGGGATATTTCCCCATTCATTTGCTCAACTATCAGTAAGAGAAGAGCAATTTTTACTTATAGTTACTAAGGTTAGCATTTTGGGGGAGAGTGGGATGTGGGTCCCACTTTTTGGTGATAGAACCCGGGTCAGTCACGTGCCAGGCAAACCATCACCTCCTTGTACTATCTCTCCATTCCCTGAGGTCAGCATGAGAAGTTCTTATCATAGACCACAGTTGTAATGAGGTCTCACAAGATCTAGTTTACATAGTAGTTTAAGAATAAAAGATGGGAGACTGCTAGTTTTCATAAACTTACATCCCTTTTCCTATATTATTATTATTGGCTTGGAGTCACACCTGGCGGTGCTCAGATCTTAGTCCTGGCTCTGCACCCAAGGGTCACTCCTGGCGAGGTTCAGGGGTGGGGGGCATGTGAGACACCAGGCATCAAATTCAGGTTGGTTGTGTGCAAGGCAAACACCCTACCCACTGTACTATTGCTCTGGCCTCTCCATTAGAAAGTTTTTTTTTTCTTTTGGTTTTGGGCCACAGTTGGCAGAGCTCAGAACTTTACTCCTGGCTCAGGAATCACTCTTGGCAGTGCTTGGGGGAAAGCTTATGGGGGAATGACTCAGGGTCAGTCACACGAAAGGTGGGCGCCCCACCTGCTGAACTGGCTGATCCATCCAGCCCTTTCTCCTTTAGAACAAGGATTGCTGTATTTCCCCCTTTTTTGTAGTCATGTAGTAACTATTCTAGAAATAATGTCTCTGGTAACTACCTGTTTCCCTTTGTCAAGGCAAAAAACAGCACAACAAAAATGAGAACAGACTACTGGTTAAAGAAACTTTGGTACATCTACACAATGGAATACTATGTAGCTGTTAGAAAAGATGAAGTCATGAAATTTACATACAAGTGGTACTACATGGAAAGCATCATGCTAAGCAAAATGAGTCAGAAAGAGAGGGACAGATATAGAAAGATTGCATTCATCTGGGGAACTTAAGGTAACAAAATAGGAGACTAACACCCAAGAATAGCCAAGATAAGTACCAGGAGGTTTACTCCATGGTTTGGAGAGGCCAGTTACACATGCTAGGGGAAAAGGGACCTCAGATAGAGAAGGGAGCACCAAATAAAGGGTGTTGGGAGGATCCTCCCAGGATGGGAGAAGCATGCTGAAAGTAGACTATAGACCGAACATGACTGCCACTTAATGCCTCTTTTGCAAACCACAGCACCCAAAAGGAGAGAGAGAACAAAAGGGAATGCCCTGCCACAAAGGCAGAGTGGGATGGGGGGGGGGGGGGCTGGGGGCTGGGAGGGATACTGGGATCCATGGTGGTGGAAAATGGGCACTGGTGGAGGGATGGGTACTTAATCATTATATAATTGAAACCCAAGCACAAAAATTTGTAAGTCTACCACTGTACCTTTTGGTTTGTCACTAATAAAATTTTTTTAAAAAATGATACAATATGCAACCAGTAATACAGTCTTCATAAATAGCACAACACAGGGGCTGGAGCAATAGCACAGCAGGTAGGGCGTTTGCCTTGCACGCGGCCGACCCGGGTTCAATTCCCAGTATCCCATATGGTCCTCCGAGCACCATCAGGAGTAATTCCTGAATGAAAATCCAGGAGTAACCCCTGTGCATCGCCAGGTGTGACCCAAAAAGAAAAAAAATCCCAACACAGCATTTGTGGCTGTGCTCAAATATGACCTTAGAAAAACAAATAGCAGGGCCAGAGTCTGCTGATCCTGGCTCTAGAAAATTGTTTACCAAACTATGTTTTCGGCATTATTGACATATGGGATAACTCCACAAATAGGACTCAGCAGAGAGGAATGAATTCTTTTAATCTTTCCAACTTTATTTAAATAAATAACAGTTCGTATATTTTAACAAAGATTTCAGTGAAGTATTTTCTTTCCTTATGTATAGGGTCTAGGAATAGTTGTAAGGAATCTGCCCCCTCACTTCTATTCCCTTCGACAAGAAGGTCTTAAATGAAAATCGAGTCAAGTCCATAGAGTCATTTTTCTTCTCCTTTTAGGGAGGAAAGAGTCACTATTGCATTTAAGATCTTCATTTCCTATTGCTGTATCCCTCAGTAGTAGTAGAAGAGAACCGCAGTGATAGAAACGAAGTACTAAATCAGTAATTCTAAACATGGGTGTTGCAGCAGATCTACTAGGGAATGGCTAGGATGGCTTCAAACTTTATATTAGAGTTTATTTTTACCTCTGTGCATTACTTGAAAATGTGCTTCTTTTATGCCAAACTTTATGATCTATTTAGCTCATATTCACTCGTACTGACTTAAAAAAAAGAAAACATTTCTTGCTAGGTAGATGCACTATCAACAAATTTCTTCAATGTCTGAGAAAGAAGTAGTTTCTCTACTTTGGGGCATACTGGGGAACAAATACAGAGGATCAATCATAAGACCTTGAGCATTTGAGGAGTGTACTCTGTACCTGAGCTATGTCCTGAGTCCTTTCTCCACGTTTAAAAGGTAAAATTTTGACTTCTGTGGAATTTTTCGGTTGATAGAATTTATCTTTCAATAATTATTTCATTCCCTTCACTCTCTTCTTATTCTTGTCCTTTTATAGCACTGTAGCACTGTCCTCCCATTGTGCATCGATTTTGCTTGAGTGGGCACCAGTGACGTCTCTATTATGAGACTTGTTACTGTGTTTGGCAGATGGAATATGCCACGGAGAGCTTGGCAGGCAGGCTCTGCCATGTGGGCAGGATACTCTCAGTAGAGGAATCGAACCTGGGTTGGCCGCGTGCTGTGCTATCGCTTGTCCTTTTATAGATGTTTTAAATTTATTTGACTTTACTTAGTCACCATGGAGTTAGTTGTTCATGACTGGGTTTCAGGCATACAATGTTTTAACACCCATCTCTTCACCATTGTCCACTGCCCTCCACCATGCCCCGTCCCCACTTCTATTTGGTCAGTTTGCTTTTTTTTTTTGCCTTTTGGGTCACATCCAGTGATGCTCAGGGGTTACTCCTGGCTCATGCACTCAGGAATCACTCCTGGCAGTGCTCAGGGGACCGTATGGGATGCTGGGAATAGAATCTGGGTCAGCCACGTGCAAGGCAAATGCCCTACCCGCTGAGCTATTGCTCCAGTCCTGCCACCAGTTTGCTTTTTCAGAGGCTCCATACCTATAAATGTTTTGCACCGTTGATGAGAGGTTTTCATGTGTGACATTTTACCCACTCTCAGCTCCAGGTCCTCCTCCTGATGGAATGCTTCTATCCCTGCAGCAATGCTCCTCCACCCTCACCCACCCCGTCCTATCTCCTAGCCCCCTCGAGTAGCATGCTTCTTACTGAGGACCAATTCTCATGTTCTTTGTTTCTGTTATCTTTGGGTATTAGTTGTTTCCCCATTATGTTTCTTTATGTCTCACACAGGAGAGAAATCATTTTGTGTTGGTCTCTCTCCCGCATGATACTCTCCAGGTTCCTTCCTGCATGATACTCTTCAGGTTCTTTCTAGCACGATACAGGTGTCTTCCCATGTGATACTCTACAGGTCCCTTCCAGAATGATGCTAACCAGATCCCGCCATGTAGCAATAAATTTTATGACTTTAAATCTTTTCTAATGGCCTCGGAGTATTCCATTGTGTATAAGTATCATATTTTGTTTTTGCAGTCATCTATTCTTGGACATTGGGTTTTTTACAGATTTTGGCTATTATGGATAGAGCTGCAAGGAGCAAAGGGGTGCAAATATCTTTTCTCCATGTTCCTGATACTTCTTCTCCAGAGTCTGAATGTAATATGCCTTGATATAGAGTCTTTAGCATTTTTCTTGCTTGGGGTTCTGGAAGCGTCCTGGACCTACCTATGGTTTTAACAGTCTGTCAATAATCTTAGAAAATTCCTAGCCATTTTTCTGTTCCTTTTCTTCTCCATCTGATATTTACATTAGACATATGTTGTGCATTACATAGTTGACCCCCATTACTTGAATACTTGAATATCCTATTCCTCCTCTCTCTCTCTCTCTCTCTCTCTCTCTCTCTCTCTCTCTCTCTCTCTCTCGATGGTTTGGTTCCTCCTGATCTATCTTTAAGTTCATTGACTCTTTCCTTGACTATATTAAATCTGTTGATGAGCTCTTCAATGGCCTTATTTATTTTTTCTTATTTCTATATTTTTCTTTTGCGAGGCTCTGCCATGCATGCGGTGGAATACTCTCGGTATCTTGCCAGGCTCTCCGAGAGGGATAGAGGCTTTTGGGGTGGCCTCTAATCACCCTTGTAAGTGTTCCCATGGTTCAAACCATATTTGAACCTTATCAAATATGGTACCGCAATTCTGGAAGATAGGTTTTTAGTGTCTTATAATGTATCGCGTGGCCGGTTTGCAGCCGCGTGGTCCAGATAGCGTCCTGGAGCCGTGGTCCAGATAGCGTCCTGGGGCGTGGCGGTGGCTGGGTAGTGGAGGTAGTGGAGGTAGTGGAGGTCTGCCAGTGAGGTGAGGTATTTATCTGGCACTGGTAGGGGTAGGGTGGGTCTTCTGTGCGCAATCCAATCCCTGGGTCTCTGGTGGTTGGTGGAAGCAGACAGGGCAGAGTAGGGTGGGGGTCCTGATTTTAATTCCTTCGTCACCTGTGGTTGGTGGGAACAAGCAGAGAATCTCTGTCCTCGGGTCCGTTGAGCCTGGAGTCCAAGGTCTCAGAGTTCCGC